TCACTCGGAATCGTGAAATCTTTGTTTTACACCATTTGTATAATATTGGTATTTCGAATCAAGAATCTAACCGAACGACGCCGCATCTTATTGACTGAAGCCCGGAAACGACTATCTTTCGACAATGTATGGACGATGAACGGCGAGATATATGGAGCATTCAATGGCGAAAGGCGAGTATTTAAATCAATTGATGATATAGTAAAATTAAACTAAGTCTTAAATTAGTGCAACGATATAGATGTTAGCATAGGAATTGTGTCAGCTAGATATAATATGCGCATAACTAGCAATCTCATAAGCGTACTTGCAATCCCATAAGCGTACCAGCATCGTAGTACACCGGTTAAATAGTGTATCAGAAAGTATCAATTAATGACTAGAAAAAATAATAATAATGCTTTATCATGCCATGGTTGTAGTAAAATTGTGAAAAATAACGAATACGGTTTTTTTTGCGACCACTGTTCATATTGGATCCATTTAAAATGCAGTGGGTTATCCCAAAGTGAATACAAAAGATTAGAAAAGGAACCCGACTGTGTTCCCTGGTGCTGTAGATACTGTCTTAACAACCTTCCCTTCTGGCAGTTATCAAGATTAGAAGTGATTAATTTATTTAAAATAACTCCTATTCCAAGTGGGGCAAGCACCCTAGACCCGTTAGCTTTGAATGACCTTTTTATCTCTGATATCATCGACAACGACCAGGACGAAATAGCCTCAGGTCTATGCAATTGTCAATATATAAGTACAAACGATATTGAAGAGATTTGTCCAAGCTCAAAGCAAAATGGTTATCTTTTCACAATGTGCGCAAATGTGCGTTCACTTGCAAACCCAAAAATTTTTGCCAAACTGGACGTTTTGTTAGAATCAATGACTAGTCTACCCGATATAATTGCGGTTAACGAAACTTGGCTTAGACCCGACCAAGTTGGCGCACATATAAATTTACGTGATTACAGATTCATTTCAAATGCAAGAAGGAACCATAAAGGTGGTGGAGTAGGCTTGTATATTAGAGATGGCATTACCTTTAAAACCAGACCGGAATTGTCCATAATGGAAGAGAAAACGTTCGAATCATTATTTGTTGACGTTTATGTCAAAGACCGAATTGTAACTTGTGGTACTATTTACCGATACCCACTGTCTGATAATTCTAGAAAAAAAGATTTTTTTAATCTCATGAACACTGTTTTGCCCTCACTATCAAGACAAAGTATACTAATGGGTGATCTTAATTACGACCTGATGGACACCTCGCACCGTTTCGTCAACGAATTGACTGAGTTGATGAACCAATATTCTTTATATCCCACTGTAACCAAACCGACCAGAATAACTGAAAACAATTCTTGATCATACATGGACAAACATATACGATCGAAAACCTGTCAGCGCTATTCTAACCGATGCAATCTCTGTTCATCGACCTGTAATGCAGTGCATGTCGATAGAACAAAAAACACTTGAAAACGAAGAAAACAGTTCTTCTCGATCATTTAATCCGACCAATATGACTGATTTTAGGACGTCATTAGAATGTATTGATTTCTCTGTAGTGTATGAAGAGTCAGACCCTAACGATGCCTTTAGAAAATATTCTTGCCATGTTATGCCAGTTTTTAATCGCTGTTTTCCTCAAATTTTGTTCAAAAAAAACTAACAAAAAGTGGTTTGATAAAGAATTATCAAAACTACACAAGAAAAAACAGAAACTTAGCAAATTAGACCTCATCAATAAATCGCAATATTCTAGGAATGAATACTTGGAAATCAAGAAAGCTCATGAAAAAATGATATTGGCCAAAATCATTCTTATTATATATCGCTCTGAGTAAAACTAAAAACGATCTGAAAAAATCGTGGCAAACAATGAATACCCTGCTAGGTCGATGCAAATCTAAACTGTCAAAAGTATTTGTTGTGGGAAATAAGGAAACGTGTGATCCTGTATTGATAGCCGATCATTTCAATGAACATTTTTCTAAGATAGGAAAGCGAATGTCTGATAAATTCACTAATGATATTGACGGTAACTTCGTTGGGCTTGATGGAATCCCTATTAAGGTTATCAGAGCAATGCTGTGGAACTGCATGCTCTCTCTAGCTCAAGATTTTAATCTTTCTTTGCCATTGGGACAATTTATTGATGAATTTAAAATCGCTAAAGTTGTACCGCTCCACAAAGGCGGAGACATGAAAAATGTCAAAAACTATAGCCCGATTAGCTTACTGCCTTACTCAAAAATTTTAGAAAAAGTAATGTACAATAAATTAGTTAACTTTTTAAAACGGAAAAGTTTTTTCTACCATCAACAATTTGGTTTTCGCAAGGGACATACCACTTCGCAGGCTACGTCTCTACTTACAAGTAAAATACTGGGTGGATTTGAAAAAGACCATTATACTCTCGGACTATTTCTTGACCTATCGAAAGCCTTTGATTGCATTGACCATCATATCTTGCATTCCAATCTCTATCACATAGGTGTTGGGGGCCACTGCCTTTCGTGGTTACGCAATTACCTGGCTGATCGCAAACGAGTGCGACTTAATAATTAGAGCCACTCAAGAGTCACTTCTGGGCCTATATTTTTCTTAATTATGATTAATAACTTCTCTAAATCACTCAGGAACTCCGATGCTATCCTATATGCTGACGACACATCCATTTCCTACATGGGAAAAAATTACCAGACTTTATTGAAAAAGCTAATGCTGACCTTACTAATATTCAATCTTGCCTAACTACTACGTGTTGAAGATTTACTAATACTTGAGATTTGCACATTGATGTTTTTATCTTCTACTGTTCAACTCCCTAGTTGCTCCGATCGTGATCGAATAAATAATAATATTCGAAATAGCAGAAATCACGATAAATTTTTTGTTCCGTATGTGAGAAAATCAATAGCACAAGAATCGATCACATGTTTTGGTCCTAAATTATGGAATCCACTGCCTAACAGTATTAAAAGCTCAAAAACGACGTCCGAATTTAGATCAAAAGACATTTATTGGAATTATATTAGTTTTTGTGCAGTAAGGACATTCTACTCCAGGCAATATTTTTCAGATACAAAGGGCGTTTTGATGATTGGTGAAAAAAATTTGAGAAAAGACTGGCAGATGAAAAATATCTCCGTTTGACTAACTATGTCATCGTGGATGCCACCAACTCACATTGCTCAGGAAACAAGTCTCGGGCAACCCACTGATCTTTTGTGTCTAGTTCCTGCATATTTTTACGGTTTATTAGCTTTGTACAGTTACTTCGTTGAAGCGTCGCTAATGAAAAGATCATCTTATACAAATTTAAATGTATCATGCTGAGACGTGGCGACAATAAATTCCACAAAATAGCGCCTACGAAATTGACCTGCATTTTATGCCAGACTCTATTGTTCTCATTTCTTTTGTCGCATACAACTTATGATTAACAACTGTGTGAAAGAACTGTGTCAAAGAATTTTTACATATGTCGTGTACTGTTTACCTTCTTAGAACCTAATCTTTTTGTGTCGTGGTCCCACCGAACGTTGGTTTTTGGCAAGTTCATGTCCCGAACAAATTTTTACTTGTTTCGTACAATCTTCTGTAAAAAACACAAAAATACGATTTATACTCACATCACATCCCTTCACATCAAAACCTGGGACATGAACGTGCCATAAACTGCCTATTGTACATATCATCGCGGTGTCGTACCTCTTTGTCCTGTGTACTTGTACAAGAGTTTTATTTGTATATTTCATGTCTTACTATAGCACAGCAGTCCTAAACTGCAGTTATACTTGTTGGGGTGCATTTCCACATCTGTGTCTTAGGCCAGTAAGGTCTTGTACATGTATCCCGTCTCTTTTATACCGTTTAACTATTATGCAGATACTGTTACATTTTTGAGGCAAATAAACATACATACCTACATCGCTATGGCATTCGAACCAGGGCCGGGTATACCATTAGGCAAGGTCGGCTAAATCCCAGGCCCTCAAACCTCAATGGCCTTGACAATCAATTTTAAATTGTTTTTAGACTGTGAAGGCTTGTTCCAAAATAATGTCAGTTTAAAACATTACAAAATTTTCTTGTTCAGGTTTATAATTCCCAATATTTACCGTTTGAAAGATGAAAAAATTTGAAATACGGCCTGACAAATGAATTTCTATACCTGCGAACTCTATACCTTTGACCTTAAAAACAAAGTATGATAATTCAAATTAACTGAACAGATTTTACCGTAATAAAGCCTTTTTTTTATGAAAAACATGTAGTAAGCCCGTGAGCTATGTTTCATAAATTTTCTTGCATTTTCTTACTCGAACCGTTTCCCTGATATCTCCGGCAAACATTCTTGGTAATTAAAATGTCACGAAGGTACTAATTTGTCGATAAAGTTATGCGAATAAAGTCAAAGTCAAAGCAAGAATTTTTTTTTAATTTTCGAAATTGGTATTCCGGCTGTGTGTGCAGCCCCCAGAACGCAACATTTTGGCGTAGTTTCACGGCGATGCCACGGTGATGTATTTCAATAAAAAATACAAAAAGAGACAGAAAAAAAAATTTAATTAAAAAAAAGCCCTTGTTTTAGAACAGACGTTTTTTTTTATAAATTGATAGAAATCAAAACTTTATCTCCGAATAACATGTTAATAAATTTGTGTATATTTTTGTGCTCGATTTTTTGGTACACCCGTAGTGTACGTACCAGATTAGGGATAGGCCATACTTTCATTACGATTTTCCTTATTTTAGTTCTATTACGAACAAAATTAGTTATCTTCATATTGATACACATAGTTCTGGAGCGCCGTTTGTTTTACATATATCGTTGTAAACTGCAACGTATTCTTTCAATATTTGGCATTTCGAGTTTGATGGATAAATGGACCTCCTGAAGTATGCGCACCAAGGTGGCGCACAACCTGAACTCAGGTTGTGTACTAGTTTAGGGTTCAGGTTGTGCGACATCTTGGTGCGCATACTTCAGGAGTACCTGATAAACTTAATGCTTAAATTTTTGTTCTAAATTTCGACTTCTTCATCGTTATTAAGAGTCTCCAATTGTAACTCTGACTCCGTGAAAATAGACTCCAGCTTGTCCACGAGAATAGGAATCCCATGGGAAACGTCCCATGGTATGGGATGGGAAAGCACACAATTGAATATCCCATGGGACGCGAAAATCGTACGATTTTCGGGGAAATGATGGTAAACGGGTCATTTATGCATATATTTAAAAATCACTCTTATTTTCTAGGATGGTCTCCGTGCTCCGTTACGTGCGGCACTGGAAAGCAAACAAAGAGAGTTTGCAGAACTTTTTTTGGGAATTGTGAAACATATACAAAAGTCTGCAAGACGAATAAAGAATGCCCACATTCGCTGCCTGACCCGAATCCTAAACCATTACCGAGTAAGATTTTTTGTTATTGGACATCGACTAGATTCTTTGTTATCGACTAGGTCAAACAAAGATTTTGCGTTGTTGACTAGGACTTATTTCAGGGAAGGGCTTGTATTAAATCATTTTTGAAATTTGGGATATGTGTTATTTTCAGGGTAGGTCTTATTTTCGGGGAAACACAGCAGTGAACCTATCTATGGATTGTTCTTGTTCTTTGCGTTACTTCCCATCGTTATAAAAAAAATCGTTTTTCATTTGACGTCTATTCAATCTTTTCGCTCTGAACGAGGTACTTGCAAGCCAGTTTCAGATATTTATTTCCGTTCGAAATTTTTGAATAGTTCAATGTCTAGCGCTCTACTCAACGTACAACATTTTCCGTCGATGGGCCGTATAACCAACTACACACAAAAAATTGAGCGGGAAAGACAAGAGAAGAGGATGCGACTATCGCTTAGCCTTAGAGTATTAAATGCACCAGTAAACGGAAAATGATTTAACTCACGACAAGAGAAAAACACATTATGTATTTTTATTCGGTTGCCGTACATTTGAATCCACGACAATTGCACCTGCATACTATTGCACCTATTGAAATTGTTTTGGTTTGCGGATATTTGAACCCATACTAACCCTAACCCATGGGTTCGAATGTACCTGGGTTCAAATGTACGGTCACCATTTTATTCATGTGAGCAGGTATTTATTTATAATTGCAGCTTGGAACTTCCCTTGCTCTGCGAAATGTGGCGGCGGCCGCTCCTGTGATTACAGAGGAGTTTGCCAACAGTGCAACTTACAGCCATGCGTGAAAGGTAATGTCTATAACGATTTTAAATCAAGGTGGGGAGCGTTGCAATTTTGAATCTCCTGGTTGATATCTGTATTCCGTTACTGTACAGACTTTTGCTGTCGTTACTCACAAGACGGTGCTCGGAGTCGTTATCCGTTTCGCCTTGGATCGGGCGTCATTTTGGTATCCAGGTCGCCTCGACTTACTTTGACTTGAACTTGTTTTAACAATGATTGTTTGATTTATATATTACGGTTATTTATTTATTAGCCTACCGTTAGACTTATTTCACGGGTGTCGCTGCTCGATAAACAGTTCTGGTGGCTCGCCTTGAAGTACCATTTTACTTCTTTTTACTTATCGATTTTAATCGGTAAGTATGTTGATAGGTATTTGTCTGTATGTTTGTCTGTTTGTCTGTTAGAAGCACGCGATATCTCACGAAAGCGAGATTGAATCTGCTCCAGATTTTGCATGTGCATTCATTTTATCTCGGACCAGAAGCCTATTGATTTTGGGCGAATTATGTCGTATAATTAGCGAGTTATCAATCAATTATTGATATAGTGATCTAGATTTTTGTAAAGCGAGAGAATTTTGAGAACCGCCGAGTGTGTGTGTGCGATGCGCAGTGCGCAAGTTACAAAAGAGCGGATGAATCGAAACTGCAGTTTCTGTTTTGGGGGATCCCCTAACTATCGATAAGTCTACGGTTTCCATCCTATATTCTCGTTTTTTGAATTGTTCATTCACAATGTGTATTCTAGTATGGTGGATCCTCTTATGTCTGCCTAAAATTGAGGAGAATTCCTTAATTTATTTATTGAAACCTAGACATGACGCCATTTTCTTGTCTTATGATTTATATGTCTTATCGGCTTTCCTCCCCCCTTTCGAATGAATTTGAAAATATTATATCACAACTCTCAAGCTGCCATATCGTTTATCCGTCTTATCGACATCCCCCCCCCCCTCCCGCCTTGAATAAATTTGAAATCTCATGTCACATCTCATAGGTTGTCATATGGTTTTTCCGTCTTATCGGCTTTCTTCTCCCCTCGGATAAATTTGAAAACATCATATCACATCTCCTAGGTTTTCATATAGTCTATCCGTCTTATCGCCCCCCTCCCTCGAAATAAATTAAAAAAAATATCATACCACAACTATTAGGTTTTCATATCGTTTATCCTCCTTATCGGCATTCCTGTCCCCTCGAATTAAATTGAAATCCCATTACACGACTCCTAGGTTTTTCTCTTCCACTGAATATTTAAAAAATCTCACATCATGACTCATAGGATGGGGAGAATTCACGAAATGTTCGAAAGAATGTGGCGGAGGAACAAGATTCAAGGTTGACCCTTGCCGCCTGGCCATTGAAGAATGCAAGAAGACTTACGAAGATTGTAACGTTAAACCTTGTCCTTGGAGTAAGTAGTTTGATTTAACGCCATGAACCCGTGGTCAAACAGGTAAGGCGCTGGCGTATTAAACCTGTGAACGCAGGTTCAAATCCCGTCCGTTTGCCGTGGATGTGCTTCGTGTTAACCCTGTAGAGATTTTGTAGCAGTGGTTCTAAACGATGGGGCGCATCCCACATGGGGGGCGGCGTCGATTTTTTTTTTTTTTGAAAGGGCGTTGTTTAAACTAAAAATATTAGTTATATTTGATCTTGCACGCCTTATTTTGGAAATTTACATTTCTTTATATTGTATATTTACGTTCGATCCACGTATTTTCAAAATGGGTACTCCCGTGGTATGTGAACCAAGATGGCGGACACTGGAACGTAGTATGCGTACCAGGTTAGGCCATAGTTTTATTCTAATTTTCCCTATTTTAGTTCTATTACGAGTTCGGGGACTAGCCAAGTTACTTCCGTAGTATTTAAACCTAAAATTAGGGCCTCACCCTAAACTGGTACACATACTACGTTCCGGTGTCCGCCATCTTGGTGCACATACTACGGGAGTACCCAAAAACATGTTGGAAATACGTTTTTACATACTTTCCCCTTACTATATTTTATTTGTGGCTTATTGGCAAGTTAAATTTGTGGTGCGGCGCGAGACAAATTTTTAAAAGAGGGCTCCCTGGTTATCACTGCCGTTCTACAAGCCCAGTACTTTCATCTTCTTCTTCTTCTTTAAAATCCTACTATTCAAATTATTTAATTTTATTTTTTTAGTTCCATCTTGCCAGTCTGGATATTCGTATCGATACGGCGCCGAGTCTGAATGTTGCAGGAAACACGACGAGACATGCGGAGTTCATTTAGAGAGGAATACGTTCCAACGTATTTTTGGAGGGAGCGTGTCCATGCTGGGAGAGTGGCCATGGGTGGTAAGCTGATTTTATAAGTTCATTTCAATATGATAGGATTTACATATTTATCCCGGGCGAGGGGAAAGAGGATATGACGCACCACCGTTTACCATTCCATGCCGGGCATGGGATTAGTTAGTTATTTGTTTTCGGAAGCATGTGCTTGATGGTAGAGGAAGCCGTAACCGACGGGCGGTTACGTGAACCACTCAATGGCGGCAAGAAGTCCAGCAATCCTCTTTCACATAACTACTCCCGCAAGGCGAACCTGCCAGTAAGCAGAGGTGCGATGGCGAGCGTATTCCCAACGCTCAGCACGGTGAGCCACAACGCCGCGACTCCGTAATCAGCATAATAGACGATAAAATAATTGAAAAAACAAATTAAATACCTGATTATAGAATCGGTAGAGTGAACAAAACCTCAAGAAAGTTTGAAACGTACAGATTTTAGATGCAGGAAAGGTATTGTTAAATGAAGTAGAACGTGTTTGCTCACCCACGATTTTACTGGAATTCAGTACTAAATTAAATTTTCTTTATCATTATGATTAGGATTTACATATTTACTAACTATCTTTCCTTGCTCTATAATCCTTTGCGATTGCGATGGAACGCTGTAGAAAGAGTGAAAATGACTATTCTATTCAATTCAAGAGTCTTGTTGCACACTGACACAAATGTAGACGAAATGCCAGACGAAACGTTACAGAAATACATTTGTGTCAGCGTGCAGCAAGACTCTTGAATTAATTAAAATAACACAGAAAATTGGATTTTGATTACATTTCAATATTGTGCGGTAGCTTCGTGTATGTTTTGACTTGCACACAAGCCTTGCTCAGGGAGGCAAAGATTGTGGTATAAATTTAATTTAAACACAATTTTATTACAGGCAGTCATGGTGTCCAAGAAAACTGCTTTAGCTTGGTGCGGGGGGAGCATCATACATAAGAGATGGATTCTGTCAGCTGCACATTGCACGAGGTAAATTGGTACTCCCGTAGTGTGTGTACCAGGTTGGGGTTAGGGCATAATTGTATTTCGATATTCCTTATTTTTGAACACGTTTAGTGGCCATAACGATCGTTTCAAAATTTTGTTGTTATTGTTAATTTCTTTCGTCATTATCATTGAAAAATCGCTTTTCTCTTCGAATACCGGACCAATTGCTTTGAAATTTTTAGTAGCTAAAGATAAAAATTTTCTCCAGAAGGCTATTACTTTTTTTTCTTGCTATGACGTCATCAAAATTATTGCCATCGGGTGGCGCTACGTGTCCATATATTTGAGCATAGCTCTCTTGTTTTTCATTACGAGTTCGGGGTCTGTGTTAGCCAAGTGAATATTCCTCCTGCCCATAGGTTTCAGTCTTTTTACACAGATTGATGTATAGTAGACAAACAAAATTAGACTTAAACACACTTATCGAGCGTAAATTTACTGTTATTTCCTGTTTTCCTAACCGCGAAGACTTGAACTGAATTGCACTACCATAATTCCTGATAGCAGTGGTTTCCAACTGGGGTCCCGCAGCCCCCAAGAGGACACAGAGCAGTTACAAAAGGGCTTACAATGCTAGGCGCTAAATTTGTTCTACTTATTCCTTGACAAGCAAAGTACCCGTTTTTTTTCTATAGTTTCATTGTATGATAAGGTTATTTCACAGGGTTTTTCACCTTGTTGAGCATGAATGGTTTGATCATAATGGGATTTGAAATCTACCAATCAAAATAATACTATAAATACCACTGGAATGATGAACAGGGCGCCATGAATGCTAAAATCCTATGGAAGAGGGTCACGAGCCTTAAAAGATTGGAAAACACTGTTATATAGTTCCAGTCGCGCCATTATAAACCTCAAATTCTAAAATTTATTAATACTTCAGAAAAAATCCTGGAGAAGAGAAAAGCGGGCACCTTAGTAATTAAACATTCTAGTTTCAATATATTTTCGGACACGGAGTATGTGTCGTTTTAATAATCCGTCGTTGCTGTTGAGTATCGCTTTTCTACCCCATTCCAATTATTTAATACTCAAGGATTGACGCTCCGGAAGTATGTGCACAAAGATGACGCACAACCTGAATCCTGACTTGGTACACATTCTATGTTCAGGTTGTGCGCCATATTGGTACGCATACTTCGGGAGCACCCAAAGATGGAAGATATCTCTAGGACGGCGGTTCCGAAACTTGTTGTTCGTGGGGCGCCAAACTATCAGGCAAAAAACTCATGGCCATAGTTTGGCCATATCAGAGCTCGCGGTCCGACCGGAGAATGGAAAACTATGTAAGAATGCCTAATCTCTGCAAGTATGCAATCTTTTATGTTACAGAGGGTATGCGAGTCTTTTCCCAGCTCAAGATTATTACATCCTAGTTGGCAGTATAAAAATCAGCAATCCTTCTGACAATAGCCAGAGAATAGAAATTCAAAAATTTCACCCACACGAAGATTACGAGCATCCACTGGCAACGGCAGATATAGCTTTGATAGAAGTGAGTAGTAGTAAAAACTTTGGAAGTTTTTTTGTCCAATCAGCACTGTCCCGATTAATTGTGCCATATATATGGTAAGCCTTACTGTAGGAGTTCGTTACATATCAAGCCCAGTTCGTTGTGGAAAGCGTAAAAGTACGTCGCATAAAAATATTATTACATTTCACAGTTGAAGACCGACATCACGATTAGTTCACAGGCCAGACCAATCTGTCTTCCAAAACTAGAAAGAGTTCCTGAGGATACCAACTGTGTCATCGCTGGATTCGGATTTTGTAAGTAATAGGTGGCGCTCCCGTAGTATGTGCACCAAGATGGCGTACACCGGAACGTAGTATGTGTACCAGGTTAGGGATAAGCCATAATTTATTTCCAATTTCCCTATTTTAGTTCTATAATGATTTCGGGGACTAGCCATGTGACCCCCCTAGTATTTGTACTTGAAATTATGGCCTAACCCTATCAGCCATCATGGTTCACATACTACAGAGTAAGTTTACAAGCGACTACTGGAAATGCAGATAACCACTAAAACCATTAGATTTATGGTAATACATTTTATGCAAACACTCAGAGGAAAAAGGGGACTCATCTCTGAGTAAAATTACGGGCAATCACTCAGAAGTAAAGGAGACTCATCTCTGAGCAAAGTTACGGGCACTCACTCAGAAGTAAAGATGACTCATCTCTGAGCAAAGTTACGGACGATCAGTCAGAAGTAAAGGAGACTCATCTCTGAGCAAAGTTACGGGCACTCAATCAGAAGTAAAGGAGACTCATCTCTGAGCAAAGTTACGGGCACTCACTCAGAAGTAAAGATGACTCATCTCTGAGCAAAGTTACGGACGATCAGTCAGAAGTAAAGGAGACTCATCTCTGAGTTAAGTTATGGGCAATCACTCAGAAGTAAAAGAGATTCATTTCTCAGCAAAGTTACGGGCAATCACTCAGAAGTAAAGGAGACTCATCTCTGAGCAAAGTTTTCTTATCATAAAATATTCGCGGAGCACCGAAATTTTTGCGATACTCCCTAAGTATGTGAACCAAGATGGCGGACACTAGAACGTAGTATGTGTACCAGGTTAGGGTTATTGGGCCATAATTTCCGGTACAATTACTACGGGAGTCACTTGGCTAGTCTCTCAACTTGTAAGTCGTAATAGAACTAAAATAGTGAAAATTGGAATAAAATTATGGCCTAACTCTGACATGGTACACATTCTACGTTCCGGTGTCCGCCATCTTGGTTCACATGCTTCGGAAGTAACTATTCACTTGGCTAACGCAGACAGTCCCCGAACTCGTAATAGGACTAAAATAAGAAAAATCGGAATAAATTATGATCTAACCCTAACTTGGTACACATACTACGGGAGTACCGTTATTCTATCCCAAAGTTTACTTGTTACAGCCGAGACGAGCAATGGCGCCCCTTCTGATGATCTACGACATGTAACTTTGCGAGTACTGCCTATAGATGCCTGTCGGAACGCCTTGAAGATAATACCTGAAACTCGATATATATCGAGCTTAAAAAACCTCTGTGTTGGTAGGTTTAGTGATGGAAAGGATGCATGCGAGGTGAGATATAGGAACAGTGGAATAAAGCTTAAAGGACTAAGTAAACCCACTGCTTATAAGTATTCGTCTACCTGATTTCGAAATTCCAACTAATTTTACGATTTTTCTAACAGTATCATCGATTACAATAAAGTACTAATTTTCTCAACGGTAATTCCCCTTCACTCTCCCTCCCCGCACAAATATTTTCACTAATCATTTTTTCATCACAAATGAGTGACATATTGTTTTCTATGGTCAAGCACGAAACGTTATTTTACAAGGTGCTTTATATTTCTTATATTAAAAAACTTGGTGAAGTTACTTGGTGAAGCGTTATTTTATTCAACTGACTGAAGCCAATGCTTGACAATGATGTTTCTTATTTATTCCAGGTGGACAGCGGAAGTGCGGTAGTCTGTCAGAGATGCAGATCTTGTACCTGGTACGTTGCTGCAACGCTATCTTACGGAACTGGTGGCAAAATATGTGATAAAAACACACCCGGTGTGTATATGAGAGTCGAGCATTTCGAGGGTTGGATTAAGAAAATATCCAAAATAGAATCATCTGGAGCTTTCTTCTGCTAATTGGTGGATTCTACATGAGCACGCCCACAAAAACATGCTGATTGGTAGATTTCATATAGCCACGCCTCTATGAGGAATGTATTGTAATATCATAGCGATTTTTGTGAAATGTTTGGAAATAAAAGAAACATTGTCTCAATTGAAAACGTTAATTTTGTTTTGTTATCTTCTCAATATTTGTCCAAGAAGAGAGGAAGGCCGATAAGATAGAATGTTTTGAGGGAACTATGACTTGTTTGGTGTAAGGCGGGGCATTTCGAATCGAATTGTAAATTAGTTGAAACAGGTCAAACTAAGATTTCGAATCGCCGCAATCTTGTTTTTTGGTCCGCCCACAGGTCGATATGAGTCCCCCTTTTTTTGCAATCGCAAAATGCAATTCTGACATATGTCTCTTTTATTTCGAGTGAGTTATTGATGAAATATGTTGCTTACAGTGTGAACACTCAGCGAACTGTCAGACTGATAGATTACGTGTTTTCACTAATCCATGTTTCTAAAGCAACCATTACAATAAAACAGTCAATACAGCTAAATATCTTCCAAGTATTCGAGATTAGATTCGTTAACAATATTCGATTCGATTCTGAAATCCCCAAATATTCGAAAATGCCCAGCCCTAGTTTTTTTTAACCTGGCTGTGAAGTCGTAACTGCGGACTCTTGGATAAAAAAATTCAACTTTTCTATGGAAACTCGAAAAGCATTGAGTTTACCAAGCGATTTTAACAGTATGTTTACGCAGATTAAAGACGGCTTGACTCCTTTTCGTTATCAAACTTTGAATTTCTTGCAGTGCGGAGTTGATTTTTGACAATCGGTAATCGGAGCCATTTTTTCGGCAGAGAATCGCACTTGTTCCCCCGTCTTCAATCTGCATTCCCAGCCTGCAGACCTTATTGGGAGATGGTGCGATTTTGTTACTATTTAGGTAAGCTTACCATATACAAGTGATACCTCGGTAGTGGAACGTCTCGATACCCAAACAGTAGTCGATCAAAAAATTATATTAAAAAATGCGGTGGTACTCGAACACCCGAGCTTATTTTTCGTCATTGAACTTATACCTCCGTAGGGTGTTCCACGGAACCGCTGGTTGGTTACGGCTTCCTCCACCATCAAGTTTGTGCTTCCGAAAACAAATAACTAACAAATCCTATACCCGACATTGACTGGTAGACGGACGAGAGGCCGTGGTTCGCCATATGCTTAAGCCGTCTTATCGGCTTTTCTGTCCCCGAGATAAATATGTAAAACCTATCCTAACCATCGTGTGTTATTTGCTTCGCACAGGCTAGCTGTTAGTATTGTAACGTCGTAGAAACAAATTGGACTCAAGCAAGGCAAAGGGAAACGAAAAGGGGTTGGAAATACTCTCACATACTAGATTAAACTGAAGTAAAAACTATTTTCGCAGATTTCACATCATTCACAATTGGAAATGCTCCGAAAAGGTTGCAGTCCTTACAATAACACTAACTTCTCCCTAACAATAACCGCTTGCTCACTGCCTCGTTCTGGGCGAAGACACAAAAATCCTCCATGAAAATAGTAACAGCGGTCGTCCTGGTGATACTGGTTTCCAGAGTGTATGATTTTGAGAACATATCGATTAACCAACAAGATTTCCGTGTATAGTAAGTCCCCGCGGTCCAAATCTGACCCGATGGGTAAGTCAATCTGTCCCTCGTGATACTGTCACTACCAAACTAAACCAAATTTAGATGTGTTAGCTGAAAAAAATAGCTCAAGAAGTTTGTTTAATCTGCGAATAAATTTATTTCTGATATGAGGCTTTTGTAACACTGTAAATAATGTTCATAAAATGTTACTTTTCACGTCACATGGCCCGCGATGAGATGGGACAAATTTCTAGCCCCTCGTCCAAAAACCTTGTCCCCCCCCCCCCCCGATCTAGAGCCTTATTTAGAGTGAGAATGTGAAAACTCCTCACGAAAAATACAAGCAAGTCCTTCGCAATATCGATTCCTTTATATTTGAAAAATAAAAGCAGCTGAATATAAATTGCAAAGAAAAATAATCAAAAGCAAAAACAATGTGTGGTCGATTTATGCGCGAAAAAATGAGTTACCGAGATGTTTTAGCTGGAAATAGCTCTGAACACCTTGTGCAGTTAAACGCACAGAAATCAGCCACGGATAACGCATGGAATGAACGTGTTAAGTACAATTATACAAACATAACACAATGACGGCAGAGAACGCAAGTTTTCACAATGAAAAGTGAAGTAATGCCAGTTTCAGTTAATTTTAATATGGAACTCTATAATAGTAACTCGTGATGAGCAATCGATATAAACTTTAATGAATCTAAAACAGGATGTACGACATTTTTGTGGATGGGCCATATAACCAACTTCAGACATCCAGCTAACATCCAGCGGGTCAAAATGCTTTTTTTACATTTCAAAGGAGTCTAAAAAAAGGGGGGGAGGGCTGTCTACTGCATGAAAGCAGAAATAAAGATTCACAATGATAGAGTGAAAGGGGTACTTGCACAATGCTCTCATATGGAATTTCACAATAGTAAATTGTAATGCCAGTAATACAGGGTGTCCATAAAGTCCCATTACGATTTCAATTATGTAATGAAGTCAGTTCTCAATATATCCTAACCAGTTTTGCTGTTTTTTAATCAGTAAATATTCAAGTATTTTTACTTCATTCAATACATCTGTGAGCGCCAAAACAATAAATGGTTCGATAAATTCCCTTTGCAAGTTTTAAGACTTTATGGACACCCCATACTTTCTTCGAATGTAATGTTGTAATAACGCCTAAATATCGTTCATAAAAAATTTTCGAAATTGATCATGCAAATACTTTCAAATATCATATTCATGTAATTCAGCGTCCATTCTATCTCTACGTTCATAAACACTCAGAAATATACCCTTTAAATTAGTAATTCTAGAATAATGCAATAAACTATAAATAAAATCATAATATTTTCAAAATAACACAATTTTCGGTGATATGGAGCTGCTTATGGAGGCTAAGAAAGTACGTTAGTCATGGATTAAAAAATTGAATGAAATTTATGACGGGTTCTATAAAGCAAGGGTTCTCAACCTTCATTATTGCTTGGCGAATTTATTTGAGTGCTATTGCATTTAAAATTTGAAAAAAAATTCATGGCGTCAAAAGGGCTTTATCTGCAACCTGTATATCACCGGTACTTATTTTGCAGAGGTAAACTATGGATGGATGGTTTTGGAAGTTACGGATGACTGCTCTTTACAGAACTAAAATTAAACATTAGATTGACGGAGGAAGACGTCACGATTGGATGTTTTATTCAAGTCATGCATGATTGCTCTTTGCAGGGCTTGAATTGAATTCAAAACTACACATTATGGCAAAGAAATTTCCTTTTTTGAAAAAAAAAATGCCAACAGATGGATGTTTTATTCAAGTCATGCATGATTGCTCTTTGCAGGGTTCGATTTGAATTCAAAATTACACATTAGGGCAAGGAAATTTCCTTTTTTGAAAAAAAAATGCCACAGATGGGTGATTTTTAAGTCACGCATGATTGATTGGTTTTGCAACAAGCAGAATAAAAAATACCAAACAACAACAATAACAGGATAGTACTCTGACATAATCTCACTTATACTAATCCCAACCGAGGGTACAGGGGCCCCCAAGGGCACAATGCTAGGTGCAAAAGGGATTTTACTTTTTAAAAACCCCTTTCTACCAAGTTCATTGCCTAATAAGGTTATTTCATAAAGTGTTTTTGCTTTGTCGAGCACGACCTGTTTGAACATAATACCACTGGAATGATAAACAGAAGGGCCATGAATGCTAAAACCTCCCAAAAAGGGGGCCAAAAGCCTTAAAAGGTTCGAAACCACTGTTTTAATCAAAGATAAACAAAATTAAAAAAAAAATTTTGTGTTGGTACATGGTGCAATAACATGAAAGCAACAAAACTAAATAGAATATATTTACTTCCTAACTTTTTCTAGGACCCTTTCCTTTAACACAATAAATCTGCATAATATGATTCTCTTTAACACAATTACACATAACTAAAACGGCAGCGTGGTTTAAAGTATTAAAAAAATTGTTGAGCATAGGATAGAATACACGACTTTTGCAAGAAAACGTTTGTGTGAGTCACAAAAGTTGGGGTACTCCCGTAGCGTGTGTACCAGGTTAGGATTAGGCCATAATTTTATACGATTTTCCCTTTTTTGGTTTATTACGAGTTCGGGGACTGTCTGTGTAAGCCAAGTGAATATAACCCCTGCCCATAGGTTTTAGTCCCTTTACACAACTTGATGTAAAGTAGGCGAACAAAATTAGTTACCTCCATATTGGTACACACACTTCTGGAGCGCCAAAGTTGAAAATCAAAACTGTATACAGAAAAGGAGAGGGGTTTTGAAATGCAATGCAAATAAATTCATATTATCACGGGAAATAATTATTTTAGAAAACAGTCTGGACTGTTCTAGCTCCACAACCAACAAAAATCATTGAAGCGCGACTAGTCAGAATAACCAAACCTTAATATATAAGTGCCATTGCCGCAATTTTTTAATCTGTCGTTTATTGATCAAATTAAAGTTAAATCTTACCAAGTAAACTAAACTTAAAAAGTGTTCCCCGTAAAAAACAATTTTGGCCCGAATAACTTTAAAATTATGTTTACAGATAAATAAAGCATCACTGGCCTATGCTCCTATGCTAAGTAAGTCCTAACTCCATACTCCACCATTCAGTAAAATTTGATCGGGATATTCTGTGACTTGTATTCTGCAAGTTTTCCTTGTTCCTGAAAAAAGAAAGTGAACACTAAACTAAAACGAGTTGTAACAAAATTAGTTTTGAAGTGAACACGAAATATTTAAGATATGTTTTGTCTAATGCAAAATTTCCAAAGGGAAACATAAACTCATTTACAAACCAGGCTGAGGAAAGTCATGCGGTGACTGCAAACTCATCTATCACCAGATCAGCTAAGGGAATGGTCATTTTGCCATATAGGAATACGCTCACCACTGCACCACCTCTGATTATACCCTGCATGGGTTCGGTTCACAGGTTCGAATCCTGTGAGAGATAATTATGTGCGAGAAGATTGCTGGACTCCTCGTCGCCATAGGTGGTTCACACAACGGCTAGTCGGTTACGGCTTTCTCCACCATCAAGTCTGTGCATCTGGGAAAAAACTAATTCCATGACCCGGGGTACCCCAAACTTTTTGGGTAGGAACTCCTGTTTATGAATCTTAGTTTTGATGAACTTTCCTTACAACACAAACAACATTAATGTGATGGATTAGGTTGCTCTTCACTTGCAAACTTGAAGGGCCGACCCTACAGCAAATCTTGATCTGTATTTTGTTATCATATTGGTAAGACTAAAAATGCTGCCTCACACATGTAAGAGGCAATAAAATTTTAATCACCTACTCTGACAACAATGGATATTGTTTCGCAACGCTCGCCCCAAAAGATGCCATGGCCTTCAAATAGAATCAGTCAATAAAGATCGATCCCAATCTTTTCATATCGTTGAAGATCCCCTGTGCAGTCATCACGAACCCCACGGGGTTCATGAATCATGAGCCCTAGTTTGCTGAACCCTGCCATAATCGGGATGGACGACAGGCCATTTGATAAAACAGTCTTTCCTCTCCCCCAAATAAATATGTAAATTTTATCTTGTAACACACCAGGGTGATGTACTATGGGAAACACCACTTTGTATAACCCTTTCGTTATTTTCTCTTCTCCTAAAAACTCACTACTAATCATAAACCGAAAAAAAGAGCCATTATAAAATTATATTGAAATATACACTCGATTCCAACAAATAAATAACGGAAAAATGTAACAAATTTTATATTAGATTATTAAGAATTGTTTTGATTCTTTATCATGTGTACTTGTTCATAGACTTCAGATTGGAGATATGAAAATACGAACATCTGGCAAGCTAAATTATAATGTTCAAAACTATATAAAATGCACCATACATGGCAAGAGTTACAATTGATAGTTACAACAATTGTCGCGACCCAAGACCCAAGAATATGGTCGCATACAAATTGGCATGTAGTGCTTTGACTAATATAAAACAATCATCTTAAAACGACATTTAAAAAAATGTTAAAGTGAAAAAAACGCAAGTTTTTGAAATCATGGCATGGCTTTATTCAAGTAAAATAGTTGCTGGCAAATATTTTTGATACTTCCCTCATGTACAATTACTATTGAGCAACACTTTAATACTAAATACAAAATGAAAAAATAAAATCAACTAGACAATGAAACTCGCAACTTTCAAGTTTTTGTTTTTAGGCCAGTGGTCGGCAACCACCGGGCCGCGACCCATCGCCGGTCCGCGGAAAGGTTACTACCGGTCCGCAGAAACGTGGCACAAAAGACGGACAATGTCCTAATAATATGTTTGGTTGATTAACAACTCAAACAATAATTAGTTGAAAAGAATCTTTGCGATTTATAGGGTACTCCGACAGTCTTTTGGGCAATACTACTACCTGAATACCCCGACATTGCGAAAAAGCTTTACAGACATGTTTACATCTATGTGTTGACAACTACAAAATCGCAGTAGGCTGAACGTAAGAAACACATTACTTGTATAACATCACCTTTATTCTCTGAAATCAATATCAACATATTTATCCTGACACATATAATTTATTACATAAGCTTATTCCGTCTGTACAAGGTGGTCCGACAAAACTTTCGTCAGGCTTTACCGGTCCGTCGCCGAAAAAAGGTTGCCGACCATTGCTTTAGGCGACCCAGATTCGAGACGCGACACATAGGTTGGGAAACACTGGTTCACACAATTGAAGGGATAAATTTTACTTTTTGAATGCCGAAGGGGTGAAAGATAAAAAAAAAAAAATAACGCCTGTATTAGATAGTCTTATCAGCTTTCCTCTCTCAAATACGCCAGAAAACTTATTTTACAATTAAGAAGCAGAAAAGGGGGTGAAAAGCTCTGTAAATTCAGCGTGGGGGTGATTGTTAACCCCATGTTCTAGCATTGACATCATAGTCTCTTGAGAGGGGTATTCCCCTTGCCTTCCATCGGAAGAAAATCCAGCATAAGACAGATTTGACGCAGGAATATCTGCGTGAGAATGTTGCGTTGCGATAACACCTTGGTAGCGATCCAATAAAGCATGGGGGTAATCAGAGCTAGATGGGTCGACAGGATTCCAACCTGGGGCTAGAGTTCCAGTTGGGGTCGTAGAGTAGTGAGAACTCTGGGGTGCAGCGTAGGATACGTTTTGCGGGGGGTAATTTAGTGTCGCGGTAGGGGATTGGATATCTGGAGACTGGCTTGGATTTGAACCTATGATGTAACTTTGCTCTGCTCTTGAGTGTGATGACAGCTGTTCCTCAACGGACCTGTGATTATTTTGATTTTGTTTGACAAGAGAGTAGTTGCTCACGATATATTCAACCTCATTATTATACGGGTTTTGAAAAGCATAAGAGCTCAATCGAAGCCAGATATATTCCGCGTTGTGCGCTTGGAATCTACAAATTGTGGAAAACATTTGTCCTTTCAGTTGCATCACTTGTTTGAAACTCTCTGCAATTTTTTCTGTGTCATCTGGGTGGCAGAAATCGACAGGACGTTTTCCGATTAGGTCTCTCGTTGATATCCCAGAATATTCGAAACTCTTGCGTCAATATATGTAAAACGTTATCAAAATTGTGCCTTGAAACGAATTCGGTTATATCATTAGGTGGCGCTAGACTCCCAATCACAGAATTGCTTGGAATTTGAAGTCTTGCGATACCAACTAAACAGTATTTCACCATTCAATTGACTTTGTGCGGTCAGCTCGTCCATTATCCCTGCTTGGTAATTCATCGCCATTGTAACCACTAGGTGGCCATGGTTTGATATAGCCTGTGACGTGCGTCAGAGCATAAATATTTTCACCTTCCATTATATGACCTTCAGCTAAACGATATCTCGGTTCTGAAGCGCTAACTTGAAGTTTTCCGCATCGCATGCGACATATAAACGCACGTCGTGTTCCTTCGCTTGAAAGCATGGATTCTTTCTTGATCGCTCCTGTTTTGAGATCCAACATCCGTCCAGCGTTTGACGAGTCTTCGATCATCATTTGTTCTTGTACTTTAGCGACATCTTGTGGATGAATCAGGTCATAAATACGGTGATTCATCCAATCAGAATGCGCTTGATTTAACACTGGAGTAACAGTATCAGAAACGAACGTAACTTGTCCAGTTTCGCACGATACTACGAAAGAAATCCATCAGCTGACTCTAACACTAATGCTTCAATTCTTGATCTGTGAGAAAAGCTGGTTTGTCTAATCCGTTTCCTCCAAGTCCACGTAACTGCTTCATATGCGACACAGCCATTCGCAATATTGTCAGTTTGTCCGGTTTTCGTGCGAGTGCGCTACAACTCGGTACCATGTCCGAGAGTTCAGTGATATACGCTGTCATTTTGTTTCTGCGTCTGCGTTCGATCTCGGAATGATTTTCACGAGCGAATCGCTCTTTATCTGCTTGTGACATTCTCATTTGATTAAGGTATTCAATTTACAAGCTATTAATTATATTTGAGAGAATAAAAAAATTGAGATAGTTACAGGCCAGCTTAATAACCTAAACAAATCTTATGAGACTAATTAACAGCGAATTTTCCTAAAATTAAGACAACATTACTCGAGGCTGCATACTTTCTCTAACACGAACGAATTTTATAAAAAAATTGCTAATTTTCACAGTAAATCGTTAATTTTACAAATCTGAATTCTGAGAATAATTTGCAATTTTGTTTAAATAAAACATTTCAACGCAGAGCGTGGCCAGGGATTTTCAAAAAGGGGTTTCTGAAATTTCTACTTAGACCAAGGTGGTCCAAACCCAGGCCCGCCGGCCACATGTGGTCCGCCACATCATTATCTGTGGCCCGCGTCGCATTCGGAGAGGAATCAAAAAATCGCATTTCGTGTTGTTTTGTCATAAAATTAGCCAAAAAATCTTTTGACATATCGTTGCATCACTAATGTCACTGAATTGCCAAGTGCTATGGCTTGCTGAGGCAACTAGCGAAGTTAAACGAGCAAAGTTCTTGGCACTATTGTGGCCTGCGAACAATGCAAAAATAATTTTGTGGCCCGCGGAGCTGCCAATCTTGGACCGTAATCTCTAGCGGGCAAGCTACGAAAAATCGCTATGTTTCAATGGAGGGGGTTTCAACCTGCAACTTGGTATAACTTTAACAAGATAACTAACTCAATATCACTTTAAACAAGATAACAACACTCATTAAATGCATTAAACTGACGCCTTTCACAAAGTAATGAAAATACTGCAAAGCAAGAAAAATCTACTTCTTCCAACATATACTTAAATTTGATAAAAATTTTCTCAAAAACATTAATTCTAATACAATTACAAAAATCAAATTTTTCGTTTTATTTCCAGTTCCAATTTTTTCATACCTAATTGTTTTAGGGGGTACTAGGATATTGTGTACTGAACTAAAAGTCCTTTCTCCTTGTTTACTTTCTACTTTGGATCCGGATGTGTCAGTTGCCACAAGTATGCTTGAACGAGATAGTATTATGAAGATAAATAAGAATAGCATAGTCTCTTTTCACGATATAGCAAGTATATTTGTAAGCTTTCAATATGTAAGCTAATGGTTATCCACCGTTTATTACGCATTATCTTGTTTTGTCTGAAGAAGTCAGACTATGATCTAACGAAAGTTCACAAATATACTTGCTATTTTGTGAAAAGAGCTATCATGCTATTCTTATTTAAATTATTTCAATCTTCCAAATTCTAATCAACCAAATGCAATAGGCCTCCTACCAAAGCCAGTATACACACATTAACAACTTACTTTCTCGACGACAAGCCGAAAAGCAATTGCACCCTATATTTGCCCACTGCAAGGTGCTTTAACAGTCGCTTTTCTTTAAGCTAAAGTAATAACAACATTGCAAACAAGAAATTGCCTACTTTTTGTATATTCTCTATCAGCCAGCAGACCTCCAGACTACACGTTTCAAACTGCATAGCAGCCTTTATTTTGAGTTGAGGTATTAACATTGCAAGAAAGAAACTGCCTACTTTCTTTAACGATCAATCAATGACTCAAAGCATCAACAACATGTTTTCCTGTGTAACTTCCTGTCTTCCAGAACTTGCTAGGGAAGATTAGCTAATGATCTGATGCTTGCAGACTTTTAAGCCTTACACAGGCCATTAATAAATGGACAATGTGACACTACAAGCATAAGGTTCGAACACGGCAAGATCTCTTTAAACAGGGCTCTATATAAGAAGTTAATATACTTAAATTGGAAAAAAATTCAAAATAAATTAGTAAAATAAACTAAATTATTTAAATCTTAACAATATGTTGATTGTAAAATCTAGCTTCTAGTCCGACTAAAATTAAAATCAATTATTTACGATTGATCAGACTCGTTTCATATCGTTGCGGAACCCCTGTGCAGTCATCACTGACCCCTGAGGGTCAGCAAACCCTAGTTTCGGAAACTCTGATCTAATGCATCAGCAACTTGCTTTCCAGTGAACTTGCTGCCTCAGATTCCAGAAAGGAATTTCTTAGAAAGATTAGCTAATTTCTCTGTCGCTTGTAAATCGAACGTTTAATACACTGGTTCTCAACCAGTAGGCCATGGAAACATCATAACGTGGACCCCAGAATTAATAAAATTGTTAATTTGATTGCGTCACTATACTTCAATTTTATTTGTAGTGGTGATGAATTCTACCGAGTGGTAATTTTCATTCTAATTATATAAGTGAAAACGACTATTTTTGCAGAAAGATTCTGTTTTTTCTTGTAGTCCCTTGCATAAAAAAGTAATGGGGCACATAATTTTTTTGCAACGAAAATTACCACTAAAGAGAAACCTAGCTAGCATGTATGACTTCCATTCTCTATAAATCAAATACATAAACCTTTCTCAAAACAGCCATAGACTAGAAGTTATTTTGCAGTTGCATTATTTATCTGAACATATATAGCTATTTCAAAGCACCACTGACTAGTAACCTTACATTATTTTGCAGACACTTTTACCAATTAGAATACTTTAATATTAAGATATTTCGTTTTTGGCCTCGACAACAGACTGGCATTTTTGCAGTTATTCTGCAGTCCTATATCTGAATGCTTTGGATATTAAAAGTATTTTGACTTACACATTTGCTTATCCAATTTAGTAAATTTGAATTGTGTCTCTTAATTCATAGAAATATTTTTCATACTTGCATGGTAATTACCGTTTGTCTTACAGTATAAAGCAAACAGACCAAAAAAGGCCCTGTAATACAATCTGATTGTCCAATTATTTACTAAATTTGAATTTTCACAGGATTACTATTTTTTATACTTGTACGGTAATAAAATACATATTTTCGGCCTCTAGTCAGCTAAAATCCTATTTAAACATGTATGGCAATACTCTCTTGAATCTAATGTATATAGATATTTCAAAGCAACACAGACTAGTAACTTTATAATATTTTGCAGACAGTTTTACCAAATAGAATGCATTGATATGGAGGTATTTAATTTCCGGCCTCTAATTGTGAAATCACCTATATTTTCACTTGTATGGTAACTATCACTAGTAACTGTAGAGTGCCTACAGTTATTATGCAGTCGCCCTATTTCTCTGAACGCTCTAAATATTAAAACTATTCTCACATTTCCAAATCACCTTCCAGTCTACTAAATTTAACTTTGGCTTCTAAATCACAAGATTACTATTTTCCATATTTGCATGGTAATTACCGCTTGTCTTACAATATATAGCAAACTGACCAAAGAAGGGCTCGTTATACAATCTAATGCAAATTTCAGCCATAAATTGGCCAAAATACGTATAAAAACACTCATGAATCTAATGAATATTGCTATTTTAAAGTGACTTGGTAACTTTTTAGTTTTAGGCATCGAATTGTAAAATTACCTATCTTTATACTTGTATGGTAATTATTATCGTATAAAATAAAGCAATCTGACTAAAGAAAGGCCAATAGAACGTCCAAATTAATGCAAATTTTAGGCCCTGAATTGACAATAATACCTTTTTGTACACGGTATTCACCGCCAGGGAGAAACCACCTTAACAAGGAAGTTCCTGTCATGAGTTACATCGGTTCAGTTAAGACAATGAAAAGCTAATTTTAAATTTTACGTCACGGATGTCATGAGCGCTGCTGCAAATAGAATTTGTGTAATTGACATAAAAGATAGTCTAAAGAAATTGTCTCTACATCTAAAGAAATTGGTAGAGATACAGGGTGGTCGCTAGTATGACAAAAAATTTGTCAAACAGCTATTCATTTTTATACAAAGAATAACTTATAAGATAACTTAAGTTTTTTAAAGGCTTAAGTTAAATTACACTCATAGGTGCTCAAAAAGTTGCACTTGAGAGCATGGTCTTAATTAACTTAGAAGTCCAAGCTCGTTTAAGGTTTCAAAGGTTAATTTGTAGAATATCATTCCAATTCAACCTATACCTATATGCATTGTATTCATGATCTCATCTGACCTTAAAATTTTCTGCTTTTCTAGCGACCACCATGTATAATAACACTCAAACACTGTGTAACACAATTATGTTACTAGCTTCTATTTAATATTTTGGCTACACCCCAAAACTGAAGAAAAATGATAATTTTATTACAATTCTGGTTGTGTGAAAATGGGTGATATTTCCCAGAAATCCGGTTTTTGTTGAAAATTGTAATATAAAACAGTATAAAAATTTCTTTGCAACTTAGTCTGGTGCTATTTTTGAATGTTTTTGGTATTCAAGAGATGTCTTTTCTTAATCCTGTGTGATAAATCCTGAGGACAATGATACAAACACATTTCAATAACTTTTCAGCAACCAAAAGTGGGCAGCAGAGAGCATATACGAGTCAACGAGATTAAATTTGGAAATATAGAAATGTTGAGATAAACAAAAATTTGATTTGTTCCCTAGTTTTCAGAAATCACCGAAAGTGTGAGCAATTTTTCTATACCCTCCCCCCCCTCTCCCCATTTCCAACGACCTCCAGCTCAGTGGTTCTCACACTTTTCAAGCCATTTTTATAATTTGTCAAGTCTCGCACCCCACCTCAAAAAGAACTAGCTAACTATAAGCTACAAATAACTATAGTAAGAAGAAATTGTGTTTCATTCAAAAAATACACCGAAAAATACGTGGATGGAACGCAAATATCCAAATTGAAGAAATTTAAATATCCATAATGAGGTGGGAAAGACCAAATTTAACAAATATTTTTATCTTTTAATTAGTGTCGCGCTCCCTCGAAAAATTGTCCACGCCCCCTTATGGGGTGCGGCCCACCATTTGATAACCACTACTCGGAACTAATTCAACAATCAATTGGACATCCAGTCTGGGGCAATTTGAGCCATTTTAAGGTAAAGTTCTGGAATCCAGAATACCGAATCCTATTCTATTTTCATACTTATTCAAATAGTGGGAATTTTAATCTAGGTACATGCATGGGCAGAGTCAGAACGTAATGCTGTCCGGAACGTTTATCAACAGGAAACGCTTTAAGGGTTTCTAAGCTTAACATTGGTAAAGAGATTTTGATATACGACACTTACTAAAGGTTTTCTCTTCAAACAAAACTTTTGTCTACAGCCGCATTGTAACTGAGATTACAAAAACAACAAATGAAATGTCCTTTATATTTATTTAAACTACCAGTAACAATATAAGTTGTGAGGGTTCCGTATGGCAGAAGACATTTTTTACAGAACACTCATTCAAGCCTTTCCCTCTGTTCAAGGATTTTGCCAACAGCCGCATTGAAACTGAGATTACAGAAACAACAAATGAAGTGTCATTTATATTTATTGGACACGTTTAGTGGACATAACGATCGTTTCAATATTATATTGTTATTATTATTATTTGTCTCAATCATTTTCAAAAAATCGCTTTTCTCTTCGAATACTAGACCAATTGCTTTGAAATTTTCAGTGAGTAAAGATTGTGTTTTTTTGCCAGAAGGCTATTACTTTTATTTATTTCTAAATTTCGCATGAAATCTGATATTTCGCCTAAAATTTCGCTGTATTATTTTATCCATGGGAACACTGGCTGAGATTCTGTAAATTATTTCTACGCGAAACTCGGAATTTTTTGTGGGTACCGGTGGCGTCAAAGGTAAATACTGCTTCGGTCTGGTTAACGTGTCCATATATTTGAGCACAGCTCTCTTGTTTAACTAATAAAGTAAGTTGCCAGGGTTCCCTGTGACAGAAGTGATTTTTGCACCAAGTTTTTCCCCCTATACAAGTTTTTTGCCAACAACAGAATTGAGTCTCCTAAGCAGATCACAGAAACTACAAATTGAGTGTCCTTTATATTTATTTGAACTTTATATATTATCGAAATAATAAATTTATCGACAATTCTTTGAGTGAATTTGAATAAAATTGATGCCATAAAAATTAATTATTATTGAACTGTGTAGAGCAAGGGGGTTATCAATCAGGGGTAAATTTCTACCATTGAGGTCAATTTGGAAGAGAATATTAAGTAGGTTATGATAGCTTTTCCAGAAAAATAGCAATAAAAAAGGGGAACATTGGATTAATTCGATGCTATAAAATTGCCGAGGTGTTGATAACAAGAAAAATAATGAAATATTGGACAATTCAGTAGAGCCAGTAAAAATAATATCGATCTAATAAGATTGACAATATACAGGGGTGAATGTCCCACTGATGCATTTGTGTGAACAATATTTTATTAATTAATGAGTTATGAAATTGAATAATCAAATCCCGCGGATAGATGGAGTGGTGGTTGATGGGTACTAAATTAATAAAGAAACAATAATACATGACGAATAGTTGCTTTTAATAGTTTCTGCACAAAAATGTAAATAAATAAGGGGAACACTGGATTAATTCGATGTTAACAAATCGCAAAAAAGTTGATAAAAAAATGTGAATACTGATATTTTGTGAAATTGAGTGTAACATTGAGAAAACAGGCATTTTGCACTCAACATACCTCTATCTAAAAAGTTTAAAATATTATCAGTTTAGCTAGGAAAACCACGCTGCTACGGTCGAACTTGACAATTAGAAAATTTAGAACCCCCATTTTGAAAATTGCTGGCTGCGCCCCTGATCAAACACAACAGTTTAAAATCTGGTGCATCAAGATTTCGATCCTGAAGAGGAATTTAGTAAAACCTTCGCCAGCCAATTTATTGCTAAAAATGAAGAGGAAAAAGCTCTAAAAACTTCCCCAAAGCTAGTAATAGCTTCTGAACATGGCCGCGAAGTTGGGAGTCTAAAGTATTCGCAGGTATTATGGCAGTACTGCTATAATTAAAACCCTAAGCTTGATTTTTACATTCCGTACAATTAGATAGGAATTAAGAATTTTATGACTTCAAGTAAGAGTTGAAATACACAAATGAAATTTTTAGTTTTCCGAATATCCCGAAAAGATATCAAAAAGAAAATTTTCAAATTTGCAGGGTGATAACAACATTCTGAATGAAGCAAAAAAGAAATAAAGATTGAGAAAGTGCAGGATAGTTTCAGAGTGAATTAATATGCTGAGTTAAATAGCATGCAACACAATGCTTTTGCGTAAAGATTTTCTCAAGAAAAGTTTCATTCGAACGAGTGCGGTTGTCGATAGCGATGTTCTGATTCTTTAATCCGGACCAGTTTCTGGTTTTGCATCTTCTCTTTTTGGTTCTGCTTCACCGGTCTCTCCTTTTTCAGTTGCCGCATCACTGCTTTCTTGTTTCGCTCCATCGCCATTTTGATCACTGACATCAGATTGTTCTTTTTGTTCTGCATCATTGATCTCTCCTTTTTGCTTTTCCGCATCACTGCTCTCTCCTTTTTGTTCCACATCATTGCTCTCCTCTTTTTGTTGCACTTTATCACTTTCTGCAGATTGTTCTGCGTTATCGGTCTCTCCTTTCAGATTATCTTCTATTTTTTCACCATTATCTCCTGCTTTGACCTTTTGACCTTGATCAGTGTCATTTCCAAGGCCATTCTCTTCAGTTTTACCAACATTTCCAACGTTTGGATCATTTTCCTTGTTTTCTGTGGCTTCCAAGTCAACCTTTTTCATGTTTCCTTTTTCCTGTTATTTTTCAGAGAAGAGAAGGAATAGGATAGAAAGGGAAAGGAAGAAAAGAAAAGAAGAAAAGATAGGATTCACAATTTCATTCCAGGGGAGGAAAGCCGCTAAGACCGCTTCCAATTACCAGTCCAAGTCAGGTATGGGAGTAGTCAAGTGATTCTCAATTTTTTTATTAGGCCGCAATTTGGCTATTTTTGGAATTTGAAGTCTCGTGCCCACCTTAAAAATAATTAACTAACGATAAGCTACAAATAACAGATAGTAAGGCGAAAGTATGTTTTGTTCAAAATACGTTTTATTCAATATATGTGCATGGAATCGCAATCTTCAAACAGTAAAAAAATGTAAATATCTAACTGGTTGTGCAAATGGGCCCACGGAGAAATAACAATTTTAAATGAGGTGTCCGCAAAATGAGTATTTAGTTTAGGTAATCTGGTACGTACGAGAAATTCTAATCCTTCTGCGCCACAAAGCCAGCTAGCAAAAGTTTGTTGCAAAATATACGATATAGCCTATATTACAAAAACGAGTTGCTCACTGAAATGGATTAAAGTCGGTGTGGGGATAAATTTAAATAGCAGTTTCTTCAGAAGTTTATGCGTTTAACTCACTATTTCTGCAAGAAACCCTAACAATGCCGTAAGGTGACTAGCAAAAATAAACAATTTTTCTTTGTTTGTTACTACTAGAATATCTATATTAGAATTAAGGTGCGGCCTGCGGCTTCACTCAGTTACTAGAATTTGGCCCGCCAGTGAAAAAGGGGTACTCCTGAAGTATGCGCACCAAGATGTCTCACAACCTGAACCCTAACCTGGCACACAACTAGAGTTCAGGTTGTGCACCATCTTAGTGCGCATACTTCAGGAGGTTTCAAAAAGGTTGCACCCCCCTGATCCAAAACAAGGCGAGATCACTGCCCCCTTAAAAAATTGTCTAAGCCCCATTTGTGAGAAGCGACCCATCGTTTGAAAATCATCGATTATTTATGTGTTTCAGAGGCATGGAATTGAAAAAAAAAGGTTACGAAGAATACAGAAGGACATAAAAGAGTTGAACTTCACGCGCTGCTTAGGGATTAAAATTTATTGAAAGCCCAGAGCTAACCAAAAGTAGTGCTTTTCAAGATCTCAGATACCGAAATTTGAAGTTTTTTGCAACATTAGCAAATTTTATCAATTTAAAAGAGAAGTTTATATACAGTAATAATTTTCCTGGCAGGCGCGAAATTTCATATGATTCAAACTTATTCAAATTTTGCTCTAGAAAAGTATATATATATATTTAAATAATGTAATAAAATATTTAATGTTCCTTATGAAGTCAACGAATTAGATGAACAGCCATTTGCATGTTATATTTATAGTATATTTTTTGTTAAGATTTGTAATATAAAACAGTATAAAAAATTCATTGTAACATAGTCTGGTGCTATTTTTGAGTGTTTTCGGTATTCAAAAGATTTTTAATTCTGTATGCTAAATCTTGACACATGAATACAAACATATTTTTTCAGCAACCAAAAGTGGGCAGCAGAGAGCATATACGAGTCAACGAGTTTAAATTTGGAAATATAGAAATGTTGAGATAAACAAAAATTTGATTTGTTCCAGTTTCCACAGTTTTCAGAAATCACATAACGCGTGAGAAATTTTCTATATTCCCCTATATTCTATTCTATACTATAACATATGGTAGTTTTAATAATAAGGCTTGAAATAACCATATTAATGCAGTTGCATTACTAACTAGTACGTAATATGTTACTGTTGTGTTAGCCGTGCCCAAGTGGGGAGGTGGAAATAAGGGCTTATATAATCAGGTACGTAGCCAGGGGTAAAGGAAAACCCCCCTTTTAGAATGCAGAAAAAAATATCTTCTTCACCATACATAGCAATTTTTCAGATCTTGCAAGGCTTTTTAGACCCTTAAAAAGACTTGTGAGAATCTACATTTTCCGGCCTACACCCGCTAGTCCTTACGGTTTAACTTGGCAATTAGAAATTTCTTCTCTCCCGTTTAAAAATGTCATTGTCATTAGACAGCACAGTTTACGATTTCTTGTGTTTTACATGATTCACAGTTTCAGAGATAAGTTTATGATACAACAGCCAATCACAGGATATGATATACATGTGATACATACTAAATTTATAATTAACCCTTTCCGTGCGGTGGGCACGTATACGTACCAACGACAAAAGTCGCTAGATTGCGGCGGGTACGTTGATGTACTCCACTGTTTTATTTAGCAATCGGTCGCAAACTGTTGGTCTAGTTTTTCCAGGTTTCAGTTTATTGATAAGGTGTCTCGAATAAGCGACGGTAAATCTCGCTTTCGTTTACGACGGGAATTTATTTTGCCACGGAACGAAGGAGTGTTTTTGAAATTTATGCAAATTTCTGTGTTTTTTGGGTGGTAATAGAAGACATATTATCCCTTCCATCTACCAAAGTATTTTGAGTTAGATCACGAAATTGCTACAGCAATATTATGCTATTGTTTGCCAACCACGAAGCGGTAACAGTAAAGGATTTAGCGAATATTTCTATTTTTTATCACGGTTTGAAGTTTCAACTCCCAAGAAAAAAAAATGCCCTTTTTCTATCCGGTTTATGACTCAGACCACCAATTTTATAAAAAACTATTTTTTTTAATCGCCAATTGCAAGCTCTTTGAATAAGCTTTTCAACGAGCCGTCAGTGGGAAGCAGAGGATCATTAGTTTTTCATTAGTCGATCGATTAGTTGTGGGGGTACAAATGCATAAAATCGGCGTAGCAAATACCATTATTTAATGAAAAATAAAAATCGCATGGAAAGGGTCAAAGCACAACAGAAACTAAAACATTGACACAAAAAGCCTAACCTAAGTTCAAGAGTAATCTAGTTACCAGTAATAATTTATTTAATAATAAAACCATCATAATTAATGATTATTGATTACCGCAATTTTTTTTAATAATATTACCTATTACTCATAATTTAAAAAACTAAAAAAATATCGAAAAGCCTGACTCAGTTTTAGTGCAAGAGGTTCTAAAGCAGTGGTTCTCGTACATTTTAAGTCGCGGCCCCTTTTTCGAATTTGTCTAGTCTCGCACCCCACCTCAAAAATAACTAGCTAACAAAAAGCTACAAACACGAAATAGTAAGGCGAAAGTATGTTTCACTCAAAAAACATGTTGAAAATCCGTGGATGGAACTTGAATAATGAAAAAATGTTGAAATGTAAATATCCAGAATAATGTGGGAAGACTGTATCTAACAAATATTTTTATTTTTATTCAGATTCATTGTCTACGCCTCCTTGCCTTACAAGTTCACAAATGGTGCGTAAATTTATAAAAAAAAGCCGTCAATACTAACCCTAACCATTCGGCGCTGCAGAAGTGTGTACCAATATGGAGGTATCTAATTTTGTTCGCCTATTTTACATCAAGTTGTGTAAAGGAACTGAAACCTATGGGCAGAGGGTATATTCACTTGGCTAACACAGACAGTCCCCAAATCTTTTAAGAAACTGAAATATGTAAAATCAGAATAAAATTGCGCCCGAACCAGGTACACACACTACGGGAGTACCGCACCAAATATGTAACAATTTACCTTTTCTGAAGGTGGAACTTTGAAGAAAGTATTCAGCAGTTCCATTTCTCTCGCTTCAAAGAACATTGCGTAATCCTACAGAGGAAGAAAAAAAGATTGGTTATAAAAAAATCAGAAGATGGCCCAGCGGTTACAGCTTTAGACCTAACTATATTTGTTAATGATTTTAAAAACTTCAGTTCAGAAATTACAGACCTTTCATTTACGAACCAGGACAGACATGGACTGGTAATTAGGCAACAGGCAGTAGGTTTTCTATAAAGACAAGAAAACTACGCCCAAATAAATGGACACGTCTGTTCGCAGTACAGTTTACCGTACCGTCAGATCACAGTCTACAAATATATTCACACCAAGCAAAGCAGTCCAGTCGGACACAAAATGGCGTCCGATGTCCGCAGAACGTTCAGTGATGTCATAGCGAACAAAAACAAATCTCACAGAGCTAACAGAAATATTTAAAATAAATAAAAGTAATAGCCTTATGAGAAAATATTTCATCTTCAACCACTAAAAATTTCGAAACAATTGGTCCAGTAATCAAAGAGAAAAGCGATTTTTTAGATTTTCCACTAGATGTCCAAAAAGTGTCAAAGTACATCAAGAACGAGAACAGCAAAACGATCGTTATGTCCACTAAACGTGTCCAATAAGATTTACATATTCATCTCGGGGAAAGGAAAGCCTATAAGACGGCTTGGTCATACGGCGAACCACGGCCTCTCGTCCAGTTACAAGTTCAGGTCGGTATCGGATTAGTTGGCCGTTTATTTGTTTTCGGAAGCATGGACTTGACGGTGGAGGAAGTCGTACCATGAAAATATTTTGTGTGGCTGTCTGAAGTTGGTTATATGGTCCACCGACAATAAATGTTGCTGTTTTAAAATATTGCAAAAGCAGCCTTCTTACCCCACAGTATTCGTCCTCATTGAAGACTTGTGGTGCAAGTGCTTTATTAGAGTCGTTGTATTTCGTCACTTCTGCTGGAATTTTCGATCTCATTACCTAAAATAATGCAAAAATGATAAGAGATGTTGAAATTATTGTTCAACATGACAGCTATTTAAACCTTTCGCTCCAGACAAAAGACAGAAGATAGGATTTCCGCATTATTCCAGAGAGAGGAAATATGATAAGATGGCTTATTCATATGACGTACTAAGATCTCTTTTCGTCCATGTGGCATATGGGATTAGTTGGTCAATTTTTAATTTTTAGATGCATGGATTTGATTTTGGAGGATTAGTTATGTGAACCACCCTGCAATGCAATGGGTCCAGCAATACTCTCATACATTATTAACCCCATGTGAGATTCGAACCTGCAAACCTACGCAGGGTAATCAGAGGTCCAGCAATCCCCTCGCACATATTTAAAGTCAGGTGTCGTTTGCATATTTTTCCTGGCTTCACAGCCACATAGGCTAAAAAAAATGGCGCTTCTGTAGTATGTGAACCAAGATGTCAGACACCTGAACATAGTATGTGCACCAGATTAGGCCATGATTTCATTCCAATATTCCTTATTTTAGTTCTATTAAGAGTTCAGGGACTAGCCAAGTGACTCCCATAGTATTTGTTCATGAAATTATGGCCTAACCCTGACCTGGTACACATACTACGTGCCGTGTCCGCCATCTTGGTTCACATACTACGGGAGTACCAAAAAAACACCACCATACTCACATCTTTCGCGTCAGTCTGCGCACAGAGGTCAATTTCTTCAAATTTCATGTCCTTGGATTTCAAATAATCCAAAATTGCTTGTTGCTCTTTCCTCATCTAAAAAAACATGAGAATGTGGAATTCAATATTGAATTAAAGTCAAAATATTAGTTGAATACTAAAAAAGCATCAGGTCGGCTAAACTTTGTACACAGTCCTTTGTTTCGAAAAAGGGACATATTCAAGAGGCCACTGACATCTCACAATGGATGTTTCCTCGAGCATAAGTTAACAAAGACGTAACAATTAGGATTTAAGCTGCCTTACAGACACTTCTTTCGCTCAGATAGATATTCAAGCGTGATTGTAAACATTGCCTCTTTGTGCATTGTGAGCCAATTTGTGCATTGTGGTCTCCATGGGAGGATGACAGGCAGTGGTGGGATTCAAATTTTTTGTCAGCCAGTTTCTTCACAAAAGTCATATTTTTCAGCCGGTTCTGTTACAAACAGAACATTGACAGTAACCAGTAATGCTAACCATTTCGCTGATCTCATAAAATTCTGTGAGACGGTTCTATAAAACCGGTGCGAACTGGCTGACAGGCCCCCAGATGGGAACCACAGGTTTAGATACCCCAGTTCTAAACTTCTTACTCAACAAGTTTCTTACCTTAGTGCTGCCTGCAGCTGAAGAAGTGTAGATATAAATCATGACTAAGTCGAGAGTTCCAAGATATTTGACAGTAAATTTAACAGAGGTAGTAAAGTACTATAACGATACTTATTTATATTCTGTGAAAAGGATGTTCTAAAACATAGAAAAGAAAATAGCACTGTCAAATATGGCAAGGCATGAGAATAGTATTGAAGTTTTGACTGAAATTTGGGAAGGAGTGAATTAAAAGGATGCCGAAATATAATTTCTAGAAAGACCGGACCCAAATATTTTTAAAGTTTTGTATGCGGATCTTGGGTAAAAATAGTTGATTAGCCCTGCTCTAGAAATATAACGACACTTATTTATAATCTGTGAGAATGTTCTATCTAAACACAAAACAGAAAGTAGCACTGTAAAAACATGCCAAGATCTTCTGTGTGGGATGACGTCAGGCTGAATAAGAATTTAAAACCCAGAGAGAAAAATGGCACTGTGACGTCTAGTCTGGTACTAGTTATGGAAAAAATTATAACAATGTCACTTCCAAACTGATGTTCCAAAATACAAAACAGAAATATATCCAGAATGAAAGTACTGTTGAACTTTGCACAGAGCAAAAAAAACCTTCTGTTCAGACCGGCCAAGTATATTAGATTGAAGAAAAAAATCAGAAAATATAAGTTTACTCAATTCTCATAATTTGAATACAAAAGCACACTTTTTTGCCTAGCAGTGACATTTCCAATCTTTTAATAATAACTTTTAAACCACACAACAAAAAAACAGCGCCATCAAAGTATCTAGTATTAATATTTTAACTGAAATTTGACCAAAAGTGACTAAAATTTTGACACAATAACAAACTTTTGCTTAGTAATAGTGGTACACCTAATCTTTTTTAAAACTGAGAACAGTAAAACAGCACTGTCAATACATGTCTAGGAATGGGGACATTGGATACACGATATCCCAGTGCCCTTTGTATGGAAATCATTCAATTGCGCTGTGCATGATAAATTTTATAAGCTCTGCTTTTTCACCCATTGCTCTATATTTGATTTACCCACAAATTCCAAAAGTTTACTGTTTTTAAATATGAGTAAAGCGTGAATTTCTTGATTTTTGAACTTTAGCTTTTTATTGAAAAACTTTGGTAAATATAGTTTCATATTTCGATGAGATAACCTGTCAAATTTTTTCCAAATATCTGGGAACCCCTCAAATTCTAATACCAATAAAACTCTTTTTCCATTGTTTCAACATTAAATTGTTTCTCTAATTCCTGTTCTACAGTGGATATTGAAGGTGTAAATGTTCTTTTCAAAGCATCATCTACATTTGTGTCTTTAGACTGTTCCAAGTATTCGCATTTTAAAGTTCTATCAGCCAGCATTTCCAAAGGTATTGTAATTACGTGCCCAGAACGTACAGAAACTCTAACTAAATCTCCTTTTTCGTTTGCTTTAAATTCTATGTCGGTTTTTTCATTATCGACAGGGTCAAGGAGAGCGACTTCGTCATGTTCTAGTGGTTGCTCTTCAGCGTGTACTTCATTCGATTCTGTTTGCCTGTATTTAAAATTACGGCCACCAACAACAACCCAATTTCTCTGCGGCACAATCATGACAACTTCACCCTTTTTTCCTTTATCTTTTCCGGCAAGGATTTCAACTTTATCGCCGACATGGAAAAGCCATTTATCCGGCGGCGTATATTTAATTTTATCATAATTATGCCTGTACCAATTAATATGTTCCTTAGCACGAATTTTTCTTTGCTCCATCGGAGAATATGGCGAATCCATTGTCCATTTGTAATAATATGGTGGTTCCACATACGTTGATTTATAGTCTCGCCATTTTACTTGTCCATGTTTTATATGCTTGTAACTCTCTGGTATAGCGTATTCACTAATATGCTGAGGGAAAGGTCTTCTTCTTGCTAGAAGCATTAGACACAGGCGGACCATTGTCAAAGATCTTTTTCAAAAATTATTTAATTGTAATAACTGTAAAACAGGAACAAAAATGCTATTTCAAAGTTGATAGATTTTTCTAATCAAGTACTTTTGGGCTCAACGAACTCTCCACCCAAAAGATATTCTGCCCCAATAGTACTATGGGACCAATTGGTGATAGAAGACGGATTATGCACAAATGTCCCATACATTCACATATATTTATATACTACTATTTTTAAAGCTAACACATATCCATTCTGATTACCTGGTACGCCCATATTATTTAAAAAGAGAACGGCATTTAGTGAACTTGCGCTCAAAAGTCTGTCTTTTGTAGTCTACTAGAGCATGAAGTAAACTAGACCGTTATGCTGCGTATGAGTTACCTACCAATGTCAAAATGTGATAGAACTGTGGAACACTGACCAATTGCTCAAAATCTGAAAATAGTTTCAAATTAATGTGAATTCTGCAATTCTCTGTTTGCTAACTTTTACGCCTATACAGCTAGAATATATAACTTAATATCTATCAGTGTATGGCATGAACTCAAGTTAAAATATTTAGCATTTTTAATCTTTGTTGTTCTGGGCCTATAAAATTAATAATTTCGGAATTTAGTCTTTTCTTGTTTCTTATTTCAATGTTCTTGCATGCATGTTTTTTCTCATATATGCTACATTATTTTTCCTTTTAACCTATTAGTTAGCTATTAAATATTATAAATAACCGAATAATCGCACCCAATACTGCCAAACGACAAGGAAATATACGGTACTCTGACCGCACCGGTACTTCGGTTCGCCGCCATTCTGGCATTGCCTGATTACCGGTACAGGAATATAAGGGTGGAGGCTAACTCGTCATGAGGGCTAACTCGCCATGGACCACTCGGCATGCGACGGCGGTTAACGGGTTAGCCCGCAACTGTGCGAAGGCTCTTCTTGTAATGCTGTAATGGGAGATGGAAAGGTGGCTGTTTATACTAACAACTTCAATAGTAAGGATAAATATATTCATTTAAATGTGTTTGGTTACAATACCGTACCTACCGGTACTGTGCAAATGGTAACAAAGTGTCAAGAAAACGTGCTTATATGTCGGAAGGCATACCGGTACCGTACGGTACTGGACGCGCAAAGGATGTCTCAACTTATCATTTTAATATAATATAATACCCATACCGTAACGTCTGAACGTACTGGTACCGGTACCGGTACCGGTACCGGTACTGACTGAAAGCCAATTACTGTTTTTACTAAATGTCCTTTTCATATATTGCAAAATATAATTCAAATAAAACTCGGCCGTACCGATATAGTTACAGTACCAACACACTCAATTCAACAATTTATACAACTCCAACATCGAAATATCTGGAATTCCAAAGACTGAAAGCAGACATTCTGACAGAAATGCAAAATAAAGCAGACGCACCCACGCACTTGATTGACAGCCGAAAATGTAGCAAATGTGTAATGGAGCGTATCAATCGGAATTCTAAACTATGGACCTTTCCCAGAGCATCGACTTCCTTGTTTACTTCGTGACATTGGCCAATCTGCAAGCTGCAAAAAGTGACGGGGGAGGGAGGTCAATTTTTGTCTTGTCATTTTTGTACCATAGAGGAATCCAAAATAAATTCCTAAACTTATATGACGTTAAGTTCCGTCGCGATGACGATGCCAGTTCGGCCGCAATGACGTCATCGGAGTCTAGCTGTCCCAATCAAATTACGTCACAGATCAATAAAATAACCGTGTGTTCTATTGCATTCAGTTAATTACGTTAATCAATACAAAGTATATATGCATCAGGAAATGGGTATTATATATGACAAACGTAATGTCTAAAAACGCCAGTTTTCATGGCGCGAATTTATCTCGCCGCCGTAGGGTGGTTCACGGTTACGTATTCCTCCCCCATCAGATCCATGCTTTCAAAAACAAATAACTGCCAAAGTAATCCCATGCCCGACATGGACTGGAAACCGGACGAGAGGCCGTGGTTCGCCATATGGGTAAACCTCTTTAACGGCCTTCCTCTCCCTCGGGATAAATATGAAAATCCTATTCCACTAGCGCTGGCTCGCTGCAATGGGATTCTAAACTTTGACTCGACAGGGCCAGGACAGTGATTTTCAACCAGCGTTCCGCGGAATACTGGTATTCCATTAAAGATTTTCAGGTGTTCCTCGTCAAATTATTGGACAAGAAGACAAGCATTTTATGATATAAAATAGTACAAATTAAGAATAAACGATCACTTTTTCGGTTTCAAGACGAGTCTATGCAATTCAAGAGTCCTGCTGGCTGCACAATAGCACAAATTTATTTTTGTAACGTTTCGTCTGACCAAAATCAGACTTCACACAAGCAGTTTTACACTATTGATAGGAAAAAACAATCCTTTTTGTAGTTTTTATGACGTCACAGCAAAAATTCAATTATCATAAACGTTTGTCAGCAGTAAGCATTTTTCCAACGATATCACAGCGATCACGTAATCACATTATTACTCTTGTTATGGCGGATAGATGTTTGAGAGAACACGTATTTTATATTTTGAATCCCGTAAATGCTAATACTTTCTGTGAGAAAAGCCGTTTTCGCCATATATATGATTAATTTGTGATAATTTTGGCTCGGCGGTCTGGCGCATCGTGTTAAGCGTTAGGAATACGCTTGCCACCGCACCTCTGATTACCCTGTGTGAGTTCGCAGGTTCGAATCCCATGATAGTTATGTACGGGATAATTGCTAGACTCCTCGCCGCCGTAGAGTGATTCACGTAACCGCTGGTCGACTTCCACCATCAAGCTCATGCTTTCGAAAACAAATAATTGGCTAACTAATCCCATGCCCGACATGAGGTCCAGATTGCAACGTACTATATAAGATTTTTATGGTTTAGAACAGCGTGGTCCAAGGATGCCGGCTTGGCGGGCCACAATACTGCCAAGAATTGGTAAATAGTGCAATACAAAACACACTCTTATATTGTCCAAACACATTAATCATAATTTGTCATTTACCAAGCTAAAACCCACTAAAAACTCAATAAAACGTGCAAATATCTTACTGTATCTACATTTAGTGTAAGATTTCAAACTCTTCATAACGGAGAAAGTGTCATAAGGAAAAATACCGTTTTAGATAGTTACCGACACAACTTGCAAATATATCAAGCAAGCATTGTGATATTTTCCCTCCCATATCCAGTCAAAAATCTGTTGGTCACCTTTCTTTTCAAACTCATGTTAAAATTAACTTACAAATAACAGCGGATTGATTGATTACTGAATTTCACCAAATTTGAGATCCAGATGGGTAATTACTAAATTTTCTGACATATTAATAGCAGTTATTGTAACACTGTTTAGGCTGGTTGCTCAAAACACCAGGAAATTATATTGTTCGGTCATTGCATTAATATTTAGTTATCAGACATAGTCAACCTAGGCTAATAGATTTCTCATTCGATTTTTAGTTTATTATGAAGTCAATTTTGTTAGCATATATTCCCGACCAAAAAATAGAAAGCCAGTTAACAATTTAGACTGCCGAGCACATCATTCAACTTCGCCAGTTGCCTCAGCTAACTATAACACTAGTCAATTCTTTGACATTATTGATATAACAATATTTCGAAAGATTTTACTATAGTTATTTTTATGACGAAACAACCCCAAATTTTTTAAAACTTCGAATTCCATCACTGTCAGCTGGGTACTTATTGGACGATCAGGTGTTCTCAACCTTTTTACTTTGTAGACCAGGTTTGTTTCACAAAAAAATCTGTGACCCATTAACTTTCCTATGCAAGGTGAAACTACAAGAAAAAACGAAAAACTCATTTCGCAAAAATGCAACTTCCACATTAATAATAATTAAAATGAGAATTAACACGCAACAGTATCATCATTTACTGCTACTACAATCTAACTTAACTAATTTGTCAATATTCAAAATGTTTGTGGCCAACCTAACAATGTTTCTGAAACCTTTAATGCAGGAAGGACAGATACAAATACCCGCGGGCCGCACCGTCATTTAACATAGGCTTTGGCAGAGGTTTTGTTAATTGATCTTATCACATGCGTTGTTTGCTTCGTACAAACTGGCTGATAGTGGATTGTAACGTCCTAGGCATAGATGATAAATTGGACTCAGGTGTACGATTTGCAACGCAAAGATATTTGAAGAAAATTAAAAACTCGTTCCACCGGCGCACTATTTTTTTACGTGGTCCACAGGTTGCACGCAAATGGTTTAGCTAGACTTAACCAACCGCTACTGTCAACCCCGAATAAAACCAAATTCAGTCCCGTCAGATAGCCGAATTTCCAGTATCAGACAAGATAAAAGCCGATTAAAATTTGAGCATGGTCAGATTTTCCCCTGTGAGTGGTTTAAGGACCCTCCGCTGATTCCATGGTAAAGGAAACCCCATTTAGCACAACTCACATCTTCAAACATTCCACTTTATAATACTGGATTTAATGAAACTTCTTCGCACGATTCTTGTTTAATAATAAAAGACGAATAAAATAATGCACATGAAAACAATATCTCGCAACCTTAGACAAGCGAAAAAAAATGAATAGTATTAAAATATAAAAACACAAAATCACGCTAGAGTATGAAACCTGTTTCTGTACCACTGATACCAGGTAACCATGTCAACCGTCACACATCAATACACCAATAAAGATAGAATAAAGTGTCTAGTTGAACTGAAGTAAATACTTGAACTTGTGACAAACGCAACAGTCCAAACTATTTCGTTACAAAGAGATCGTGGAAGCTTTTGCAGCAAGTTCTGATACCAACGGGCATTTAATTTCATCAATCTGTGAGACGCGGAAGGCTTTTTGGCTTGAATATTTATTGCGAATGGCATTCAAATATGTACTGGTTTCAGCAGCTTTCAAATTCTTTGCTAAATGGCATACGACCGAGGCGATCTCTTCGTATGAGTATCGACTGTAGTGTTGTAAGGTAGGGGTCCAGTCATCGCCACCGATCAGTTTCGTTGATAGGCAAAGAGCAGCGGCGGCGAGTTGTGAAGGTGGTACGTGGCACATCTCGTAATCAACCATCGCTAATTCCATCAGGTATTTCGCCAGAGCATGCTGGTTGGCATCGACATTTCCTGCTTTAGAATTGCGTCTCAGGAAATGCAACGGTAATGGACGTCCGAGATTAAACCCAAGGGTTTTCAGCATTAAAATCTCCATCTGCAAGATCTGGGTTCTTGTAAAAGCTTGGTCGGTGATATAGACGAAATCACTCACTTCGGGCGCGTACATTTCTTCATATTTTGACGCCAACAACATCGCGGTAACACCAGCAAGTTGCAGTTTTGTGCGAACGACTGGGTGAATTTGTAGAAATCTGTCCAAAATCGCAATTGTCAAGTAGAGAGTTTCCTGTAGAAGTCCGAATCTGTGATGGACCTGAAACATTGAGCACAGATTAAAGACTTCACTGCTGAAACCTTACGTCGGGGACTAGCATACACAATCCGATTTAATATACGTGGATATAATAAAACTTGGTCATTACTTGAAACGTTTGTATTGGTATTTATTTAAGTTTGCACTACAATGATCATAATAAGCGAAATAATGTTGATTTAAGTTAAGAACCTGAGACAGTCGAAAAGCGACGCACGCGTGGCGGGGTAATCAAGCCCATTTCTCTATACATGAAGAACAATATGTCAATTTCCGAAACCAGTCGAACAGCGAAGCACGCATAATATAACTTAAGCGAAAGATTGTTGATTACGAAACCCTGTAATAATCTGAAAAGCGACGAACGCACGATAATACAACTCAAGCGAAAGAATGTCGATTACAAAAACCTGCCACAATCAGAAAAGCGACAAAAGCATGGCGGGGTAATCAATCCTACATCTCTTTCCGTGAACAAACTTGTTGTCATGCAATCGTAATTGAGCACTAACACGACCGATAAACACGTCCGCGTGGCACTTGCGTTATTAGTCCTTGGTAATTTAAAACAAAATAAATAAACCAATTAAGATTCAGGTATCAGTCATATAATATATAGCTACCGGATTCCATTTTATATCTATAACATTAACTGCAGAATTATGTTATTTCAATTTGATAATTACCTGTTGAAATATATCCAGCAAGGCAGGTTAATTACAATATTTTGGCCAAAGATCTATATACAACTCACATTATTAAATTCGACCGACGACGCAATTGGGTGTTATGCATTTAAATAGAAACACGAACAAGTGGGCCGCCGCGAACTCTTGCACAATCAAAAAAGAAGCGACACAAAGAAATGCCAGAATGTAGCGGACATTTAAAAAACGTTAAACTTAAAAGAAATCGTACACGTCGATGAGAGACCGCGTTTGTCGCGCACAAACTTAAATATAGAAAATAACAAACGAAATATGCTAACCTGGATAAGCCAATCCACTAGGATCGAGCGCATTCGCGACTTCAACGACGTTTCTTTCAGATAATGCTTCTTGACTGGGTATTCGGCTTCAAGGTGCAACATATACTGGTAGATCTGGTTCACAAATTCAGAGCAAAGTTGTGGGTTTTCATAGTCATCTTCGTCGATGTTGTGAACATCTGGCTTGCTTGTTCGATCGAAAATGTCTTCCTGTGTAGCTACCGGAACTTTGTTAGGGGTTCCCATTTCCATAGGTGCATGTTCCGGATCTGAAACTTGCTTTTTAGTGGCATTTTGTGTCGATTTGGGCTTTAAAGTTGCTTGCTGTCTCGTTGAAGGCTTCTTAATTTCTCGTTTGGCTGTTGGAGCTTTGTTGTCGACCCGTTGGTTGGTAACAGTGCCAAGAGCATGTCTTGTCACAGGTGCAGCTGTACGCTTCTTCGTAACTGCAACCGATTTGCCTCTGACTGGATTCTCTTGGTCGACACGAGACAAAACATTAGCACGAGTAGTAAGGGTAGCCATCTTCGAATCGCAGCGTTACACACGGTCACGGTAAACAAAATTGAAGCAGAGAGAGTTAATCGTAGTAAACGGTTTTCTTTTAGTCGAGCAGTCTTTTCTTGAGCAGTAACAACTTAAAATATAACTTCGAAGCAGGAGAACAAAAGTAGACCAACTTACTCCGAGGCAACGTAAGAATGAATGATGGTACATACGAATGCACGTACCAGAGTGACTTTCGACTCTTGGGCAACACCGAGTGGTCACCTTGAAGGACAATATGTCGACGTGCAAGAGCATTTTACTGCCAGGTATTGCACGGAGACAAATCATTCAATATCCGAAGTTGACGTAACGAATCTCATTATTTGACTAACTAAACTATAAGATGCAGGTAAATCTGATTTAGAAGGTAACAAAAAGATTCCATCATCTTGATTAAAACAAGAACCCGTACATAATAAGTGTAAGTTTATTTTGACTCCGTAATTATAGAGTTATTATAATCAATATAAAAGACGACAAAATTAAAAAAAAATAAATAAATAAAACTGATTACAGCAATGCAAACAAAACCTTGAATAAGGTTTAAAACGTACAGATTTTAGATTGAAAGGTGTTGTCAAAAGAAGTGGTTCGTATTAGCTCAACCAAACGTATCAAATTAATTAAAACCCGCTCACACTTACATACAACCATGCAAACAAAATATAATTTGAAGAGAAAAAAGGAGAAATATAAGATATATTACGTGATAAAAAAAAATATACAAACAAAATAAAAAACAAAAAATAAAATTTTGCCACACAATGTTGATAATTTTGAAAGAATTGTCAGATAATCATCTCTCGCAGGATTCGAACCCACGCAGGACTATCAACAATCAGTGGCACATTGGCAGGCGACATTATCATTCCTTATTTACACTTGTAAACCGCAGCAATCGCCAGCACATGCTCCGTCGTATTCTGTCAGGACAAGATATGTAGGTTTAATCAGTTACTATGCGAGTACATATTTTGTTGTAGACTGAATACCGATGACGTGGTACAAATATTGTGCATGAGTTTTAAACTTTTGTTCTTCCATCGTCCGAGATAAAGTATTCGCCTGGGTGCATAGGGATGTACACCAGACATTTTATGAGAATTTGCTTAAAACAAGGTCACGCGCACTCAAGTATCGGGAACTCACCTATGAGCAAGTTAAAGCGGCCATTCAAATGGCAAGGGCTGTTTGCTCGACGGTCTGGCGCATCGTGATAAGCGTTAGGAATACGGTTGACGTCTCACCTCTGATTACCCTATGTGGTTTTGAACATGTGAACCTCCGTGGTTTTGAACCCGTGAACCTCCGCAGGGTAATCAGCAAGCGTTTTCCCAGCGCTAGCACGATGCGCCACACACTGCGATATAAGGGACTGCTGGTTTTGAAAGGACTGGAATTCTTCCGGGTTCATTACTTTCTTCGTGACCTTTGATATTACCATTTAATCTTGAAAGCGTTTGATTCAGGATTACCCAAATCAATACAGATTATAGTGCATTAGTTTATTGCATCACAATATGGGGAAATCGGCTTATGAAATAATAATCGGATCAGCGGTGTCAAATTCAAGGGTGAGCATTTAAATTATTGAATTTCGACACTGCTGTAAGCTTTAAGTTTAAGAAGTCGGCGTTCATTTCTTTTCGCGGGCAGGGTGCGTTATTTGTTTTTACATGAAGTGTATATGAGCGCCATCTATAGGGTTACCATATTTTTGTGATCTCGAAGCGGGACGCATCCAAACACCACACGTGTGATTTTTTCAACTTTGAATTTACCGATTTTACATTAGAGGCCTACATTTCAAACCATCCCGACTGTATTCATTGACCATATTGTCATCGAGAGTTCATGCGCTGTCTGTCTAAATATCGGTTTCAGTTCAAAAAATAGAAAGGAATTTACGTTAACGTTAAGCACGCTTTTGGCGTATGGGGCTCACACGTAACAAATTGTAGTAATCACCCGCCAATGTTAGCGGAAAACAACGAAACCACGCTACACAGTAACAACAGTATCGAGAACATGCTAATTGGTAATGTTCGTGTATTATGCTGACTGGCTGGACGCTGAAGCGGGATATTTGGCTGGCCAGCCGGGACAAGAAGTTGAAAAGTGGGAATGTCCCGCCTAACAGGGGACGTATGGTAAGCCCAGCTATCCTAATGAAGCGCTGGATATGTGGTCTCAAACTGTGAGTCGTGACAAAAATGAAATTGATTCTCAAAATATTGTCAAGCCTTTAGAATTTGACATAAAATGATCAAATCGGACTTTCGGTACTCCCGTAGTATGTGTACCAGGTTAGAGTTCAATTTAAGTTAATTTTATTCTGATTTCCCTCATTTCAGTTCTATTACGAGTTCGGGGACTGTCTGAATTAGCCAAGTGATTATACCCCCGTATATAGGTTTCAGTCCATTTACACAACTTGATATAGAGTAAGCGAACAAAATTAGTTACCTCCATATTGCTACACACATAATTCTGGAGTGGTTCCATTACATTTGAACCCACGTACATTTGAACCCATGACAATTGCACCTGTATGCTATTGCACCTATGGATTTTTTTTTTGTTTCACGGATAGTTAAACCCATACTAACCCTAACCCATGGGTTTTAGCACCCGCATATGGATTGAACCCGTGGATATACACATGGGTTCAAATGTACGTGGGTTCAAATGTACGGTCACCTTCTGGAGTACATTCAATTGCGTAACGATCGTCAAGCACACAAAAGCAAGACCAATCACCGCATTGATAAAATGTACATACATTATTCTTGTCTCCACAGCACGTCATGATTCGTAGTATGGAAGCAGAAAGTTTGACAATATAAAGATTGCAAAGGAATATTGCCGATACCACATATATTGTATTGGCCCTCACAGATGTATTGAATGAAGTAAAATAATTTAAACAATTACTGATTTAAAACAACAAACCTGGTTAAGATATATTGAGAACTGACTTCATAACAAAACACCTTGGACATTGTCACCCATGGACACCCTGTATTGGCCGACCTGCATTAATTGATTCATCGAAAAATTGAATATATATGAATAGGGTTATCTTAAGCTAAAAATAAATTGGGCCAATAGTAGGCCAATTTTTAATAGTATTTAAAATACTATAATAGTTCGCACTGGCATTACAAATAAATCGTAGCAATCAGTATCACCCGTACTTAAAATATGTTCGCTATTGCATGGAAGGAGATAATGTTATTCTCATTTATTAAACATCTGTTACCCGCATTTGTTATATTTAAATGAAAGCCGTTTCTCTCATATCGCATTGCGAACGGGAACGTATGGCTAGTTCAATAGTCGATCGTTATCAAAGCGTTGGCTTTTCATATTCGCGTGAATTGATCGAGCGCCGAGTTCCCGTCATCCGTAACCAGTGTTTTTTTTCGCCATACTGAACATAGGTGCAAGACATATAAATTACAATAAATTATAAACAAGCCGTATTTCAGAGTGAAGGAGACGTGGAAAAGCAATACTGGTTACAGAGCAGCGACAAAGTCGTTGTGTTGACACTGGTCCTATATAATAGATTTGTGTTTAGGAAGAGCTCCGTAAAGATGTATGTATGTTTATATGTATAACATAGGTACAAGACATATAAATTACAATAAATTGTAAACAAGCCGTATTTCAGAGTGAAGGAGGTGCGGAAAAGCAATACTGGTTACAGAGCAGCGACACTTATAAATAAGTCCTAGTCGTTGTGTCGACACTGGTCCTATAAAAATAAATTTGTGTTTAGGATAGCTCCGTAAAGATGTATGTATGTATGTATGTTTATTTGCCTCAAAATAGTAACAGTAATTGCATAATGAAAAATAAAGACAAGTTACTACAGACGAGATAGGTGTTCAAGACCTTACTGGCCTAAAATACATATGTGCGATATCAACCCCGCAAGTATAGCACCAGTTTAAAACTGCTGCGTTATAGTAGGACAACAGACATGAAATGAATCTATAATACAATACACAAGACAAAGAGGTACCTCACAACGACGATATGTACCGTACAATAGACAATTTATGGCGCGTCGACGTTCGTTTTAAATAATTGGTTTGTGTTTGAGAAAGCTAAATAAAGGTTTTAGTCAGTAGTGTGTAGTTATTGCCAGGTTCGCGAACAACGAATATCATAAGGTCAATAACCAAAATTTTTGTGCTTGCAACTACTAGAATGCCTATGTTAAAAAAGGCGCGGCCTGCAATTCCACTTAGTTATTTATCTCTATCAAGGTTGCACGCCTCTGAATTAAACAGTGAAAGTTTGAAATTACGTGTTAGGTAGTGTTTTTAAAGAAGGAGTTACGTGCTCCGCAGATATGGACGATTATTATACCATGTGTGGTTATTGCCAGGTTTATATGCGGTTTAAGACACTTCTGTTAATTTTCGGGACGCACGTAGCAAATCGCCGCGGGAAACCTTTGGAAACCGCGGCCTTTTCAGGTTGACCACATCTACTCTTTGAAGATACGGGTGATGATAATGTTAAGTTTAGTTTAGTATTTTATAGAATTTTTTTTGGAATGACGCTTTCGACAGGCAGTTGCTGAAACACACGGAACGGCGGTCCAGAAGTATGTGTACCAATATGGAGGTATCTAATTTTGTTCGCCTATTTCACATCAAGTTGTGTGAAGGGACTGAAACCTATGAGCAGGGGGTGTTTTCACTTGGCTAAAACAGACAGTCCCCGAACTTAATAGAACTAAAATAAGGAAAATCGGAATAAAATTATGGCCTAACCCTAACCTGGTACACATACTATGGGAGCACCCACGGAACTGCTATAAATATTGAAGAACTGGAAACCTTGTAATTCGGCAGGTCTAAATAGGCTGGTAGGAAAGCCAGATTAGATAAGATTTTTAGTTTGGAGTTATCAGCAAGGAATAGGTGTCCGAGATTACTCAGAAGTTTGAAAGATTTATTTTTAACTTTTTCAGATAACTAACTATGAAGCCTAGCTTTGTTCTTAAACGTCCCGTTAATTTCTGCTCCGACACAAAGTGCAACAAAAAGTTCGGTTTCCTGTCTCAAAAGTAAGTACATTTAGGGGAGCTCCCGAAATATGTGTCCCAAGATGGCGCACAACCTGAATCGTAGTCTGGTACACATACTATGTTCAGGTTGTGCGTCATCTTGGTGCACTATGTTCTGTAGAAGCCTTTGAATTCCAAGTCGTGTCACGGAATACAAGTTTTGAGCCATTCATAGAGATTGATCTCACTCACTGGTTGGCGGCGAGTCCGAAAAACTTAGGGCTGGGCATTTTCAAACGAATAGTAAATTATTCGAATCCGTTCAGACAAAAATCCAAATCGCCGCCATCTTGTTTTTTTCTGGGCGCCAAAGGTCGTGGTGAATTTTCCAATAGTTTGGTTGTTGAAGAAATATTCTAAAATGCAATTCTGACATATATATACTGTTTTCTTCCTTGTTAGTTACTATGAGTTATTGACAAGACATGCTTTTTATTGTTTGTGAACACTCAGCGAACTGTATGAGTGATGAATTCGATGATTTCAATAATAAATGTGTTGAGAGGACTCATTGAAATATAACAGTCACCTTCAATTATATATCTCATAAGTATTTGAGATTCGATTCAAAAAATATTCGATTTGATTTCGAAATCATCCGGTATTTTAAAATGTGTCAATGACAGTAACTCTCGTTTCAGCGGTCGCAGTTTAGTTATTCAAAAATGATCTTCCTTTACTTCTGAATGAGTGTGCGTGGCCATGCTTTGAGCAAATCTCCCAGAAATACCGCAACATTTTTGCTGACGAACGTGCATTCGGGGTATCTGCTCCGATATTCCAAACAGCTCCTAATGTGATAATATTTTCTGCATTTTGTACATTTTTAGATTTCACTGCAGAGCTTGTGGAGACGTCTTTTGTAAAGCATGTATAAAACAGAAAACATACTTACGATACGCAAATAAAGATGTGAGAGTCTGTAACGACTGTTATTACAGATTGAAGGTGAGGAGCTGCTGCAGAAATCGCAATTGTTACGTCATTGTTGACTAATTGTTGATTGATACGGATATAAATTAGGAAACCGATGCATGGGTAGACAACTAAGCGGAATATAGGGAGTGGTTTGCCATCTCCTCCCAGCACTAATATCCTATCTTCTCTTTCAGAACATAGACGAATATAGAACACGGCACATTATCAGCAAACTAGACTATTTGGAAAATCAGAAATACGAAAAAGAAAGAGGAAATTCTGCTCCGAGATGTTGCAGATGCACCGACCGATTTGGGATTATAAAGCGACGAAAGTGAGTTGAACCAGTGTTGTATCTAGGGTATTGCAGCCGTGTATCGTGCATGGGCGCTGTTTGAACGAGGGCGCAAAAATTTTAAGCGTAAAAAGGTCTCAATAATAACCGGTTCGAGATTATGCAATTTCTGACATCGGCTCAGGTACGCGCTCGTCTAGCAACAATTGGTAAAGCTCATAATAAAATAAATAACATTTGTCACCTAAAATAAGGAAACTGCTACAAACATCAGGATGAATTTACATAATTATCCCGGGGGAGTGGAAAGCCGATAAGAAGTGGTATAAGCCGATAAGTGGTAACTGACCAGCGGTTAGGTGAACCATCCTACGGCGGTGAGGAGTCCAGCAATCCTCTCGTACATAACTATCCCCGCATAGGATTCGAACCTGCGTAACCACGCAGGGTAATCAGAGGTGCGATGACGAGCGCATTTCTAACGCTTAGCACGATGAGCCAAACTGCCGCGCCGCGCGGAACTCCGTATTTACACTAAACGCTTATTTTATTCGCCATACAGGTTCTGTGGTGAATGTCAAAAAGCCTGTTGTTCAAGATGCAGAAGCTACGCTTTCTCGCAACCCACTGGAAAACCACTCAGAGTTTGTTACAACTGTCACGGTGAGAAATTTGACAGGTTTGGAAAAACAGGGAAAGTTAGAAAACTTTAGTTTCAAACCTAATTGAGATTTTGTTTGCACTCCCGATTCTATATTCAGTTCAATTTGTCCCATTTTCATCAATTACTTTATCGTCTATTATGCTTATTATGGAGTCGAAATAAACTTATACTTATTATACTAGTTGGGTTATAGCAGGGGTGGGCAAAGTTTTAAGATTTATTTCAGCCGAGGAAAATAATTCGAACGGAATACTTATCATATTAGCTATAATACAAAACTTTCAATTCAGAATGTGGTCTGGTTACGCCGCACAATATCAAAGTCGACTCAAATAACGAGCAATCTGATTGGACGTTAAATCAGTCACAAGGCGACACCACTATTGAAGAATATTGTAATCGTACCAGCCGGTAGATGGCGACATTGAGCAAGATGCCGTTTGGTTTGACTTCGAAAGATGTGTACCAAATCTGATATTTCAATGCATACTTTCAGGCAGCGACTAGCTGTCTCTGATGTATCTATCCTAAAATGCTAAATCATTTTTCCCGTTCCGAATTTGCGGGCTCTGAATGTAGAATTACGTGATAAAATCTCTCTCTCCCGTGTGAATATAACTCCAACTACTGACAACAAATTCTAATTTTATCACGTTTTATTCGTATTCCTTTGCATTTTGAGATTATAAGATCCTTTTTAAACATGCATACAATGAACTTGGAAATTTAAATGTTGCGTGTTCGCCATCGCAATCACAGTAGGTATAAATGAGACCACAATTTGGAATCCTGGCAGTGTAATCGCCTAGTTATTGATTAACTATTAACAAGGGTCCTGTTTTGTTTGTTGAATAGTGCTGGTACATTCTGTTCATCATTACATAGTATGTCTTTGAAACTAGTATATTTATTGGTTAAACTAGGTAAAGATTGTGGGTTCGAATCCCAAATTAAGACACGATGTAGCTATAAAACATAATATGGCACAATTCCACCTTTTTCTCTCCCCTTACAAATATGAAAACTATAAGTGTAAAAAGCATGACACTTCAACAAATCGATCTTCGCAACAATTTTAAATTTTCACTCAACTTCATTGGACCTCTCTACCCGAAACGCAGGGCTAGATTGACCATTAGGCGCATGCTTAGGACACCAAGGAAAAGCAGCGTCCCAGAAAATTCTCATAGTCAAATTGTAATCGTGGCTCAGTGTTAAATGAAATAATTCGAGTTGGTCAGATGATACAGACCTCAATATTGGCCCAGATAAATCAATTTTTGCTCATTAAGTATCATTTTAAACCTCAATACCCGCGGTTTCATAATTGCTATTTTTATGTGTAGTTCTTAGGGGCTCTGAGATGGTCCGGCCTTGCCCAGACCCTATTGTCATAGTTTATTGATAACTAATATAACAACTTATAAAAATCCATCGGGCCTCTACCCATGTAATTAATAATACCGAACATCCCAATTAACAAAGAGCATAATTTAGAAATTTGTTTTTCTGAAATATCTGCCCCACGGTACAGTGTGTCCCCAAAAATAATACCTGGTCGAAAATCTTCAATGAATCTGGCGAGACATTCCAGAGAATGATCTGAATAATCTGTTTGGATTTTTTTCCCCCCCAAAAAAACATGTTATTTATAAACAAATGAATATCGGTTTACATATTTGTATATTTGAAAATCTCGCAATGTTCTACTTTGTAATTTTGTTTTTGATAAATGAAAATAAAACCCGACAAAAATAATCCGTAGTGTTATTTTGCACTGTCTTATTAATTTCAGGGAAACTTGGTAGATTGTAATAGCTAATATGATCTAACCATATTCACAGTTTTCCTCTCCCCCCATATAGTAATGAAAACATAACCTCCCATTAATTTCAGCAAATGTTTTTTTATTTATAATTCAGTGCATTCTATAATTTTTGAAAAGTTATACACACACAAAATAATAAAACTGAAAATAAATAAAATAATCAAATCAAACATTTACAGAATATTCTGATCAAGAATTGCGCAATTATAACTTGAGGTTATTCGCTTCACCCCCTTACCCCCCAAAAAAAGTTGATTGATTAAAGCTTGGGTATTTTTTACAAGGTTTTCTATACCTGAATAAATTGACATTCAAACTTTCCTTTCCATGAGGATTATCGGGGGGGGGGATCTTTGGGAGGGGAAGTGAAGCTCATTGAAAATATTTGTTAGGGGTATATTCACTTGGCTAACACAGACAGTCACGAATTTGTAAAAGAACTGAAATATGGAAAATCGGATAAAATTATGCCTTGACCTGATACTCATACTACAGAAGCATCAATAAATGTGCATACAAGCAAAAATCAATATTAATAATATATACAAACTCAAATGCATGAAAATGAGAAATTAAAAAAAAATCAAAGTTAGAAAAGCTACATTTTTGTAATACAATGTAAGTTTAACTGTGGATTTTGGGAATTATAATATACTCAACACGAGTCAAAATAAAGAATAAATTCATAAAAAAATCAGATACAATTACTGAGTTGAAAAATCAAATACGGTTGACAAATCCTGCTTTCATTTTTCTGGAATTGATTCCCAATCAGAACCAACTTCGTTTTTGAGTGTTTATGGGTGCTGTTTGGATTGTGGTGCAAAATCGGTGTTAAGTTTTTATCGTAAAATGTTTCAATGAAATAATTTTAAATCAGAAATAATTTGAACTCTTATTTCGATTAAAAAAGAATAAGATACAAGTATCTCAACTCAATAACAGCCGTTAAAAATTGCGACTCAAACGATCATGATGGGCGCGCATATATAAACTTTGCCACAGGCACAATTTTACGTAGATACGCCACTGTTCTACTGACAAAATTCATATCTGGCCCAAGTATAACCAATAAAAGACTGCTCTCACTATTCAGTCTATTTGCTCAGTATTAAAAGTAGGTCAGTTTTGTGTTTATTTTACAGATAATATAAGTGACTGTATTATTCTAGACTTTGGCAATTTATCCCTCTACAAAATGATTTTAGTAATCATATTTGGTTGTAAGCTTTAATCCAGAAGTGGGCAATTACTTTCGTAAGTGGCCCACTTACAGATAATAGACTTGGTTAATGGACTTCCAAAACTTTGATAACATTAGTCTTCCTGCTGAGTTTCACTGATGCAATACAATAGGTCAGGGTGGTCCAAGACTGGCAGCTCAGCGGGCCACAAAATTACTTTTGCATTGTTCGCGGGCAACAATAGTGCCAAGAACTTCGCTCGTTTTACTTCGCGGTTGCCTCAGCAAGCCATGACACTAGCCAATTCAGTGACATTAGTGATGACAATATGTCGAAATATTTTTTTGGTTAATTTTATGACGAAACAACACGAAATGCGATTTTTTGATTCCTCTCCGAATGCGACGCGGGCCACTTATTATGAAGTGGGCCTGGACTACCCTGCAATAGGTATTTGTTAAAATTTATATCCATCAAAACTATAGTCGTAATTTCAGCGGGCACAAGTGGGCCGGATAGAACACATCGGTGGGCCGGATCTGGCCCGTAATTTGCCCACCACTACTCTAATCCATTCACCATCACCCTTTTAGATGAATGAATTTTGTAACTCTGGTTATGTGGAATTCACTATCGCATAGCTATTTTCCTGATTGTTTCAACATAATTGTTTTGGATCCCTCGTTAATCTGTAATCAGTAAGTCACAATTTACCATTATAATTTCTTATAGTCTCTTGCTTCACTCGAAAGATTAGTCTCCTTAATTTTTCGGTGGGTGCATGTGAGCAATTTAAATAAAAATTCATTAATTTTGAAAAACTATGCTGTATCATACCAGACTTGTTGTGCTGTTTTGAAAATTCACAATCTGAAACTATGGGGTGTGGAATTTATCGATAACATATAATTTTTTGGTCCTCATCTATACCCTTCCTATGGACCTTTCCCCGACCTTTGACCCCCGAAAAAATTCCTCCTATACTTTACCATTGCAAAATTTTCGGGGCTATTTTAAGAGTGCGTTTGCGGGTTGGCGCCTGTAAAATGGGGTATGTGTTTCAAACCATCATTACGATTCATTGCATACAACAATCTGTTTTTTAAAAGTACCGGTAAGGAATTTTAGCCTAGTTTATCACAGCTATTTCTACACTAATTTTTTGTTACTGCAGTTAAATTAAAACTCCTAGGAAGACAAAGTGATCATTGAATTATCTGATTTATATTTAAGTTCCCGAAACACAGAGGAAAACTAACGAATAGAGTTCAAAAAAGCGGAAACAAGGTAATGTTTACAACCACACATGAAAATCTGTCTGAGTGAGAAAAGTGTCTGAGCTTTTTGCATCTCGCTGATTGGCCAATGTCATGAAGTAAAAACGGAATTCGATGCTCGGTCCATAGAAGGGGATTGTGACCCTATAATTTTCAGTTGTTACCCCGATTGTGCATTGCGCTCATTATTATAAGAACGTGAAATACCTGATGAGTTACACAACATACAGGTCTTATTTTTGGAAATTATATTTGCATCCATGTATGTTTAAGTCATTTTTAAACGTACAAATAACCGCAACCACAATAATTATGCTAATAAACTACCTAGTTTCACCGAAAATACCACAATATTTTTCAATTTTCCTTTGAAAAATAGCACTAGGGCTTATTCTTAGGTCTTATTTTTGGAAAAACACGGTAGAATTTTAAAATCAGAAAAATTTAATCACAGAGATGAATCACAATGACGACAATACTATAAACGCTTCCTGGAAATTTCGTTGGTTTGGTTTCCCTTGTTAAATCTGAGCTGATTCAGATTGTTTTCAACACTATATAGGGTGTCTATAAGGTATTAAAATTTTTAAAAATTGCAAAGGGAATTCATCGATACCATATATTGTTTTAGCTCTCACAGATGTAATGAAGTAAAAATACTTTAAACAATTACTGATTAAAAGATAACAAACCTTGTTAAGATATATTGAGAACTGACTTCATAACAAAATTGAAATTGTAAGGGGACTTCATGGACGGACAATCTGTATAACAGAGGCTGCTAGAGGTCGGCAAAATAGATTATTTTTATCAAATTTGACGATATTGGCTTTTTAAAATCTCGCGAAAATTTTCACTGGTTTCAAAGTTCTGGTTTCATCTGGTTTTAAAACATACAAACCGGGCCACAAAATAATTGTAAAAATTTGAGTGCTTCTCGTGCTTTATGCAAACTTAGAAATTGAAAAAATATGATACGCACAAAAAGAAAACAAGAACATCAAAACGCATAGACTCCTACTCAAATTTGTCATTTCCAAAATTTGTCATTTCCCTCTGTTAGCGTGGCCGTGGGCAAATTCTTGCGGAATTGAAGCATTTAATTTAGAAACTTGTGAGACACTATTCGCCCTGGCAAAGTGTAGTAGATATCAAAAATTTCATATAAATATTACAATTTAAATTTTATTATGAAGCCTGTTCTCAATATATCTTAACCAGGTTTGTTGCGTTTTAATCATTAATTGTTCAAGTATTTTCACTCAATTTAATACATCTGTGAGGGTCAAAACAATATGTGTTATCGATAAATTTCCTTTGCAATTCAAAATTTTTTTAAGACTTTATGGACACCCTATCCTATTTTCAAACATTTTGTCTGAGAATAAATAACCATTTGTAATTCTAAGCTTATAATGACTTCTTTTACCATGTATCCATGGAGTTTATTGAACAAAGGCTGACTGTTTACTTTTTAAAGCTCTTAAAGAGTAGGTCTGCTTTGAAACCAAAATCAACAAAGCATGTCCAGACAGAATAAACACACTGTAATTGTGCCATTTTAATGCCGATGTTACACTTGAATAACTCAAAAGTTCTACACAACAAAGAGAATCAGTGGAGCGTGGCCAGTCGGAATAAATCACTAATTCATGACATCAAAAGGAGTCAGTGGACTGTGACCAGCCAGAATTAACTCACCAGCTATTTTAAAATTTTTTAGGTTTTACAGTCACAAAAGTTGGGTGAGGCAAACCACGACATTAAATCCACACTAGTACATTAGAAGCAGTGGAGCGTGGCCAGCCAGAATATTCGTACAGTAAATACACTATTCCATAATTTATTTTATTTCTAGTAACATGGGGCAGTGGTCCCCAACATTTCAAGTCCAAATTCTTCAAAAAATTTAGTTTTAAAAATATGCGATCCAAGAAGTCTCAAATACTGAATATTACGAAACGCTTTTATGTCGGAAAATAAGCTACCATATACAAACAATCATTTCTATGCATTATATTTATTTCACCAGAAATTGATTCGAGGGAGAAAATGCTTGTATTTCAACAGCGAGTTTTCAAAATTGCAGTATGGCTCGTGGGAAAATAGATGTTGCCAAGTTTTTCACTTTTTGTTGTAAAAACAAGTGGGAAACACTGGGTTAGGACAGACTACATACATCATCATGAATTAATTCTGAATGACAAATCTCTTAAGCAATTTTAGGAGTGAACACTGAAACACAAAATGCTACACGCCTCACCCAAAACTAAAAGTGATTCATCTCTGAGCAATATTGTGGGTGGCCATTGACGTGCCAGAAGCTATGTGTTACTACTCAAAAATAATAAAGACTCACTCATCTCTGAGCGAAGTTATTCTACTGAAACCTATAAAATTATGGCGATACATTGCGCACTGCTGATTGGCCAGAGATTCGAAGCAGTTCAAACCATTGCAATAAGGAAGTTATAGCTATGAGGTACTGAATTCCACAGATCCCCCTGTATATTTGACATAGCAAATTTTACTAACTTATCAAAATTGCCAAATTTAAGAAATACAATCTAAAACAATAATCATTTATATGCTCAAAAATAGTTTACATGCTCGAAGTATGTGTACCAATATGAAGGTAACTAATTTTATTCACCTATTTTACATCAAGTTGTGTAAAGGGACTGAAACCTATGGACAGGGGGTATATTCACTTGGCTAACACAGACAAGCCCTGAACTCGTAATAGAACTAAAATAAGGAAAATCGGATTCAAATTATGGCCTTAACCCTGAAAAGGTACACATACTTGGGGAGTACCAATGAAACTATTGGCTCAAAAGTTTGTAACTACTGGTATTTAGATTAAGTCAGAAATAGAAGATGACAATATTTAAAAAACTATTATGATGCAATAGTGCAAAACCATTTGTACCGTGAACTAATCAAAATATAAAAAAGAAAATAATTACAAGAGTTAATTAGGAATTAATATAATTCACTTCTAGTTCAAATAAAAAAAAAATGTTTCGCTGTTTCATGTGATCTACGCGCAATGTGATTGGCTGGGCATTTTCGAATACCTGATGATTTCAGAATCTTTTTTTCGAAACAAAGACTTGGAATATGTGTAATTGTGACTTTTTAATTATAATGGGTTTTCCATACGCATAACCACTGAAAACATAGAATCCATCACTCAGTCAGTTCATGAAGTTGTCAAGCACAATAAAAAACATGTTTTATCAATAACATACTAGGAATAGGGGAGTTATATGTCAAAATTGCATTTTAAAAATGTGGTCCAACTAAACCGATTCAAATAACTTACTATTTGATTCGAAATGCCTAGCCTTAATTATGATAGGCCACTAAAGAAATTTACTATTTTTATTTCTCAAAAATCAATCTTGCCTTATAAGCAATGTTCCCTCTAATTTTTTGTAGTATGTGTGCGCAGAAATTTTGGTATGTGCGCACTTTTTTGGAAATGACTAATATTTGTGCAAAAACCAACGAAGAAATTCTGGCATTCTAACCGGATAATGGGTGGGACAACAACAAACTCTCAACCTGCAAACCAAGCTGTGTGCACGCGCACACTTTAGAGGGAACACTGCTTATAAGCCTTGCATCTTTGGATTAGGCAGTTCTATATGCTCCATTACCACACTAAAAACCAGTACTAATGTTTTTTACGCAAACCGCCATTTTACGTTTTTGTTGAATAAAATACAATAACCCAGAAACTATGAGCTTGTTTTGTTTGATAAGCTTTGTACAGGAATGCGATACTCCTTAAAAAGGTTGTCTGATAGCCAGGTGTGCCTCATGGATAACTTACTAAAAATTAAATTATGTAATTTGAATTGCCCATCCCAATATAGGGTGTCCATAAAGTCCCTTTACAATTTCAGTTTCGTTATGGAATCAGTTCTCAATATATCTTAACCAGGTTTGTTGTTTTTTATTCAGTAATTTTTTCAAGTATTTTTACTTCATTTAATACATCTGTGAGGGCCAAAACAATATATGGTATCGATAAATTCGAAATATATCGAAAAAAATTTAAAACTTTATGGACACCCTATATATCAGAAATTTGCATGCAGATCACATACAACACCGACACCGGAAAAAATTGTAACTTAAAATATACAGATGGAATGAAACTTAATTAAACAGTATTATTAATTACCGTAACATTTGGTTCAACATGAAAATTAATCAGGTAGTATTATTAACTCTCAATATTGGTAAAATTTTGTTTTGAATGACTGAAACGAGGCCGGAGCTCACCCTTCAATATAAGTGACTGATATAGCTGCTATATAATAAGACCATTGACAAATAGTGAAGCTGTGAGGGTTAGTAAAAAAAAAGTCAGGAGCAATGTGAAACTATGATGATCAACAGTTTTTCACTCAAAATATTAGGTTTCAAAAATTCATTTAAAAAAAGCACAATGCTATGTTGCTCCAACTTTATAACTGATAGAGAAGTTTATAGTGACCGCTGTGATATGCTAGAATGAGGGTCGACAACATTTTCTTTCCTTTGTGCCAATTTGTAAAATTCAATGTCAAAATTTAGGTTCTCTCGAGGGCGCCCCCGTATCATGTGAATCAGGATGGCGGACACCTGAACATAGTAAGTGTATCAGGATAGGGTTAGGCCATAATTTTATTCCAATTTTCCTTACTTTTAATTTTAGTTCGGGGACTAGCCAAATGACTCCCGTAGTATTCGTACCTGAAGTTATGGCCTTAAACTGGTACACATACTACGATTCAGTGTTTGTCATCTTGGTTCACATACTTCTGGAGTACCAAAATTTACATATTTATATATTAAACATACGTAATCGGAAATTTAGTCGTTGGACAATGACGAGATATTTCACTAATTGTGACTCATTCCAGGATCCAGCCTTACTTGAAATAAACAGAAACAAAGAAAACGGATCAGAGAATTAGAGGCAAAATCAGAATTTTCACAAAGGGAGGATTTCAAAAGCGAAAATTCACATTCTGTTCTCACCGCGATTACGTCCTCGTTGAATAAGCCGACTCTTTCGGAGTATAAGGACTTTTCTGCCGCATAAAATATTCAATCCATGAAAATTACGAGAATCTAAAACGTTTCTTATATTAATTTAATTGTGTTCAATGTAATTCGCGCTTGCGTCTTCTTACGACAAAATTAAAACATTACTACTCGAAACTCTCACCCCCTAGCTGCACCACTGGGAGGAGCAATAACACGATAGTTTAGAAAACTATTACAACCACGTCATTCACGAAATATCCTCAATTTAGAATATCAAAATTTCTGTGAAACCAACAGCAAATATTTTTTTACTCCCAATAACACAATGGAAGCCCAAACACTCTTTCAATACAACACAAAATGCATAGCTTCAATATAACAAGTGATAACTGCCTGTAACATGAAGTAGTTTGGCATTGGTATTTAAATTGGTTTTTCTTGGTTTAAAAAGGGAGTCAGAGGGAAATTCAGACTTCTTACTTCAAATAGTGATTATCGAGTCTAAATTCCAACGGAAGCAAAAAATCATTACTGTATATCCTCGCATAAAAGCTCAGTTGAAACTCAAAAGGAAAATTGACAAACTAAGGGGTCAGCTTGTACTCTGATCCCACAAAAAATTTGGCTTTATTAACGCGTATAACGGGTCCTTGCAGAGTTTGACAGGGATAGTGAGGATGAATTTGCAGGATTTTGAAACACTTCTAACATTATTAATAAAACTAAAACAGCAATAATGGTTATCATATCCATCAATTTTCTTCTGCAACCATTTGTTGTGATAGGTGCAACAACCTGTTATGATTTGTAGAGTCGGTTTATATATAAATTTTTATAAATTCACAATTGGCTTATAAATTGACCTGTCTACTTATATGTGAGGATAGTTAAGTAAGGATTTCCAAAAAGACAATCAAAAATGGCTCTAATTATTGCCTGTAACACAGGGTTTTGGAGTTCACATCGGGAGAATAATTTTTGAATTCCTCAGATGTATTATTTTAAAATAAAGTTGGAATTTCAAACGGAAGCTAAAAATCCTTAATAAATGAGCATTCTGAACAGATGATTAATTAAAAAACAATTTATCTGAAATCTAATGGAAATTCTCCGCATTCTAAAGAGCTTTAGATGAAATTTTTAACAGAAGAGAAATTTTTTTTTATAACAAGAAGTTTGGATTAAAAACCATATGTACCGGTAACTCCACTGACCAAACAGTTATATGATTTTGGTCTAACTACAGTAAATTCTATAAAATCACTAGACAAAAACATTCAACTTTACAGTCTTCAGTTACTAACAATTTTAAGAAACATAACATAATTTTAAAATTTAGCCAGGGTATAAAAAATAAGGCACTTCAATAATAAAAGATAGCTTCACAATAAAGATCATACTGTATACTGGTATCCACTCATGCACAGAATAAATGGGAATAAATTTAGGCGGCGCAGTGGCCTTGTGTTTCATAAAGCAGTGGTCCCCAAACCATGGCCCGTCGACCAATTCCGGCCGTGTAGTGATTTAATATAGTGAAATAGTTTGTTTTAATCTTTTTGCATTTTAAATACCGCCAATTGTTAAGTTATAATCACAGTTTAAGCATGTTATATTCGTAACAGTTCAATTATACCAGTATTGGCCCTTTGTGGTCGCTCCCTTCCCCAACCCGCGAATATTATTCCTCTTCTAATTTTGGCCGCGGCCAATCAACTTTGGGAACCACTAGTTTAAAGTGTTAGTATTAACTATGCTGGTTAGATCGCTGATTATACACTCCGGGCTTGAACATCTAGGGCAGGGGTTCCCAAACCAGGGGTCGCGACCCTAAATTGGGTCAGAGTGATAAGTAGGTAGGGTCGCAAACAGGATGGATGTACAAATCATCTAAGATTTGACAAACCATGTTGAATTTAGCAGTTTGTACCATGGCTTACTGTAAAACAGGCCCATAAGCATCGCTCAATACTTATGCTATGATAGAAAATGTACTTGCTTATTGTGAGTGACATCACTGTTTGGTTTTAGCTCATTTTACTTAATACCACCACATGACCAAACTCAAAAATCCAGTGAAAGTACCTCTAAAGTTTCATGAAAAATATATATATTGACTTGGGGTCGCACCGGACACTTGAAAGTTGTCCTTGGGGTCGTCCTAAAAAAGCTTGGGAACCCCTGACCTAGAGTATAATACTCACTCAGTGATGTGGTACTGTTAGTAGCGTCTCTGTTTCAAATTATAAAATAAGTCGATTAGTTATTTTTTCCATATTGAAACTTGCAAACAGGGCTCGATTGAGTCTTTGTTTCTAAATTTGGGCTTTGGAGGAACAAATCCCGAGCGCTCCAGAAGTGTGTATACCAATAGGAAGTTAACTAATTTTGTTCGCCTACATTACATCAATTTGTAAGAACTGAAGCCTATGGGCAGGGGGTATATTCACTTGGCTAACAGAGACAGTGCCCGAACTCGTAATAAAACTGGAAAAAAGAAAACCAAAATGAAATTATGACCTAACCCTAACCTGGTACACACACTACTGGAGTACTCAAATCTGTAGTCTAACTTACCAACCTTTCAATGATTTGGCCAGTCAAGTTTGAAGTTTGTTAAGTGCAATAATGTTGATATGCCATAATCTTTCATAAAATACGGTTATTTTAACTTGTATTTTGTAGTTTTCAACTATTTATTCCTATTTTATTCCTCTGATTATTCTGAGTTTCAAATATTGTTGTGTCCTCGTCTTCCTCGGAATACAAAGTATCCATGTGGTCTAGAAGCTCTAGTTTTTCATTCCCATGGTTCGTTGAGTTATTTGCAAAGTAAACACGATGCCCGTTCCTAGAGGTATCATTCAGCCTGTCTGAGGGGGTCAAAATCGGTAGCGGCGTGGATGGGACTTCTACATCTTTATAGAAATGAAGAAGAAAGATTCCGATTACTGTTGTGAAAAATCCGATTAAAATTCCAAAGACGTCTTTGACAATCATTTCTCGCCATTCTTTGAAAAGTATAGCTGAGCACGTCAATACTGCTGTAGTAAATAGAACATAATATATCGGTGTCACCATTGACGTGTTAAAAATATCCAAAGCTTTATTCAGGTAGTTAATTTGCGTTGAAATTGTCGCAATGAGAGAGAAAATCAGGAAATACGTTATCGGTAAAGTAAAAACTGGTCGGTTAGCGAAATAATCCCGGAAAATGAGACCTACTCCTTTGACGCACGAAACTGAAAACGACCCAAGCAATGAACAGATCGAAATGTAGATCAGCATATTTGTTGTGCCTTTCCTCGGTGCCATGTAGAAAATCAAAAACAATGAGATACCGAGAATAATTAAAGCATAACAAACAAACAGTGGATCTTTTAATTTTTCTGCCATTTCTGTGAGGCTGTCAACTTCTTCTTTTTGAGGGGCGTGAGTAACGATATTCATTGATCCAAGAATTGCGAGAACACATCCAACTTTTCCAAGAGAATTCAGCCTTTCGTTAAGAAAATATGACGCTAAAATAGCGCTTACTAGGACACTCAGCGCACCAAGTGGAGTGACCAATGTCGCTGGTGCAAATGCATATGCAATAAAATTGGCCGCCTCTCCTAAACCCATAGTAATAAGTCCAGCCCACCACAACCATTCTTTGAGATATGCATGGCCTCCATCTCCCGCCCTTTGCGATCCCTTTTTTGCTAAACGCAGGAGGCCCTTTTTCTTCAAAATAAAGCTCCCGCCAATAAATATACTTGAACTAATAGCAAGACTAAGTCCAATGTAAAATCCCCCACCATAAGGTTCACCATCTTCTAATGTTGTCGTGCTTGTCATATTATTTGTTACTTGTGAAGTTGCAAATGATGTTCCACTATGGGATGTGGTTGGAGTCAAAAAATTTAAACTTGTTAGGTCGCTTGTTGCAGTTGTTTCTATATTTTCCACAGTGCTCCTACCACTGTTGGTTGCCTCATATACAGTACTATTCATAATACTAATACCATGTAGGATTTTTTATATATTTTAGTCTTCTCAGATTTCCCAGATTAATTCTGAAAAAGCATTATGAGATTAGTATATTTCATTGCATTGCAGGCGCTATAGCCTAGTGATTAATATCAGTAGCTGATTTTATGGACAGTACGGCCCAGTTCTCCGATTCCAAGGATAGCACATTGGAAGACATCAATTATAATAGTTAACGTAAATACATAAATACCTACTTTACGAGACAGACTGCGCCTCCATATCAGTAAACAAGATTTGTGTAATAAACTAGAAGGAGACCCAATCTAAAAACAGCACCATTGTATACCCCGGAAAAAAATATTCAGATTTAACAAAGTGAAAAATTTTTACAATAGCATACTAGAGTTTTCAGAAACAAATTGCAAATTTGGTCATGTGCCGGCCATGATTACAAGCATGGCACAATCTACCGTAATGCCAAACACTCCGTTTCAGGCAAAAATAGAGTGTTTCTTTTAAACAAAAGGTCCGGACATCTTGGAATAGGGAAGCTGTACCCTACTGATGGAGCCCTGCCCCTGTTTCTGGGTGCAATAAATTTTGTAGGCAATGTCAAATCACAAAAACTTGAGCAAGTACTTTCAACTTGTTGCAAGCGCAACAATCGTGAAGTGCGTTCATGTCACATGTTGTTTTGCTAAAAACTATTGAATGTTATGTTAGTTTTTTTATGCCTTCGGTAATTCAGATTTTTTTTAATCCAATGGTGACATTTTCAGATTTTGCTTATTTTCAGTATATAGTGCAGTTGATTTGTGGCGATATGGAAGCCCAGACTTTTTCATAAAGCAGGGTTTGCATTCACTGTTATATTAGATGTATTTAAATGTGGAGGTTATGCTTGAAATTGGAGAACTATGCCATACTGGCAAAAGAAGCAGTCTAAACTCAAAGAAATGACTTTTAGCCACATGACAGCCGATGAACATCACATTTGATTAATATTATTATCGCGACAAACATTGCATGATCTAGCACATCTGACAACATGCCAGGCGCTCTTATTTCTGGAACGAAAGAGTGTTTGTTTTATGAATCTAATTATGGAAACATCTTGGAATTTGAGAATTGTGTCCTATTCAGGAAGGGTACACAGACTTACAGGTACGGTACGTACCCAGGGTATGCTAGCGGAACACAGCACCCTCTAGCAGAAAAGATACAACAATACCAGTCAATGTTATACGGCTTGGCAGTGTGGCACATCAAGTATGCAAGTTGAGCGTTAGAAATACGCTCTGATTACCATACCCTGCGTGCTTGCGTTCGCAGGTTCGAATCCTATGTCAGTAAGTGGGTACAGGTAACTTACTGACTTATGCGCAAGAGGATTGCTAGACTTCCACCGCCGTAGGGTGGTTCAGGTAATCGCTGGTCGGTTACCAGGTTACCTACAGCGTCCTCCTTCCACCATCAAGTCCATGTTTCCAGGTTTCTGTAAACAGATAGATAGAGATAGTCTATTTTGAAAACTCCATAACAAACATAAATTAAAAACGGAGAATTCTGGAGAGCAAGCAAAACCTATGAAAACAGTTTAAAACATGAGAAGTATCTCATATGCCTGCCCACCAGCACACACACAAAAACACAAGCCCAGTTAAATGAGGCTTGGGCCAAACTTAACAAACAAAATACATGATAGTATTGAACTTTCGGGCTGTTGTACTTTTAACACTTACGTCTGTATGTTGATAATGACCAATACAATCTCATTCAAAGATAATGTAGGGAGTGGAATGTAATAAATTGGCGACGATAGTCACACTCATGAAGCCATGAAAGCTTTGAGAAAAACCAAGCCATGAAAAACTACACTGATTGCTAGATTGGGCATTGCGGAAAAGGAAACAAATACCACATTAAATAACTGGCTAACTAATTCCATACCGCCATACTCGACATTGACTTGTAACCGGACGATAGGCCGTGGTTTGCCATATGATTAAACCATCTCATGGTTTTCCTTACCCCGGGATAAATATGTAAATCCCATCCTATACGGGTGGCGTATATGATACCGTACCAGTACCTTAAGCGAGAAGTGAAGTAAAATCATAGAACAGTAGATACGGCGCGGCGATGTGGCTCATCGTGCTAAGCGTTAGGAATACGCTCACCACCGCACCTCTAACTACTCTGCGTGGGTTCGCAGGTTCGAATCCCATGTGGGATGGTTATGTGCGAGAGGATTGCTGGACTCCTCGCCGCCGTTGGGGGTTCATGTAACCGCTACTTAAGTAATCCCATACCCGACATGGAATGGTAACCGGACGAGAGGCCGTGGTATGCCAATGGCAAGCAACCAACTTTCTAATGTTAATTAAACAATTTCATGGACGCCATCTTGTGCCATATTTGGGAAACGCGAAAAATATGAAGTCTTATGGGAAATTTTCGTCGTGTGGTTGTACCGAATCGAATAAGTCCGCTGTTATAAGGACTAGAACAAAACTGAAGGGTGGATTTTGAAATTTAAGATATATGCTATCTAAATATATAACGCAATCAGGAATAAAAAACTATCTAATGCGTTAACTTTGACCACAAACACAGCGTAGAACCATTTTTGGTCATTTTTTCCAAGATGTTATAGTGATACGCCAATTTGAGGCTGTAAAATGTCTCCGCAACAATCCTACAATGGCATTATGGAGCTTGACAGACGAAAAATGTTAACCAGAAAATAGAACAGCCATTGAAGCAAAGTTGGGTCAGCCGGTCATTTCGATGAATAAATACAACTTTTCATCTGTGACGTCATACAGTCATAAGGAAAGCCATTGTCAAATGGTTAATTATGACGATTAGAATGGCCAATTTACTTCGGAAGCAACTCGGAACCGGTATACTTGTCTTCAAAGACAATTTGATGTACTATAAATGTAATTTGGCCAACATGAAAGAATATAAGCATGTATGGCTAAGATTCTACTTTAAAACGAGACTTTCAAAATTTGGGTCTCACAGTCTCATGTAGTTTCGTACCTAACATACTTCTAGTGGGCGTAGCATGGAAATTTTTTCACGTATCAAGCCTAACCCTCACCTGACTACACCATCCAAAAATTATGTCAACAGTACGTCACAGTGGCGCAATAGAGCCCTTCAAACTATACGAACTGCCATCCAAGACATGCAAACGAGCAACCGAAATCGAACAGTTATTTCTCTCGTTTACTCGTCGCAACGATTCCAATAGGAGAGAGATCGATAACGTCAGTCAGTTCTTTATCGTCGGCGCCAATGCCATTTCGGGCGATTGTACGTATATTTGGCAAGCTCTATGACGTGATTGTGATGTCGTAGTGACATAATTTTTGGATGGCGTAGTCAGATGGGGGTTAGAATTGACATATCAAAAAACTGTTATGCTACGCCCACTAGAACGTTAGGTACGAAACTACACGAGACCCCAAAATTTTTCTATCTAAAATATTAGTGAAAATAATAGGTATCCTATGTTTCAATAATTGTGTTGGAACTTCTCAAACTGTCATAAGGCCGAGAACAATAGGCACAAGATGGCGTCCATTGTCTGAGCGTTGCCTCGCTTATATTATATACCGGTATACGCTTTGTGGTATGCCATATGGTTAAGCTGTCACATCGGCTTTCCTCTCCCCTGGGATAAATAGTCTATGTAATTCTTATCCTAAGTTACAATATCTGAATATTGCTGTACTTGGCAGACTCCAGAAAGATCTGCAGATTTGGGCCCTATATTGGGATTCTCAGAAACTCCTATGCTACAAAAGACACGTCAAATGTCGAAAAACCTAACTAAAACGCGAAACTCGCACTGACGGCCTGACATTCGTAATGTTGGCATACTTTATACTCCTAAATTCCAGAATCTGACAATATCAGCGGTTGGTAGTGGCGCGGCGATTGGAGTCAATCAAAATCAAATAGTAAGCACAGAAAAACAACAATTGAGCATATGGAATACAATAATTAAGAAAATTACTAAGGCAGCATTAATTATTACTTAATATTCATGAGAAGTTTTTAGTAAAAAGTCACCAAAATGGTAAAAAAAATTGATTATTATTAAAATATTTCAAACGACTCTGTTCACTACATTGAATCATTTTCAAAACCTACGTCATTGACGTCATAAGTGTTCTGTTAGTCTGGTGACTATTGATCATTTCGCTACAGCGAGGGTTCATTTCTCCTTTCTGTCACTCGAATGTGATGAATAAATCGTATAACTCCACCGATATGCGATAAAAAATTTTATATCATGAGGACACAATCTAATCGGAATTTTATCCCAGGAAGTGTAAAGCCAAATAATACAGCTAAAATATCGAACCACGGCCTACCGTCCAGTAGTAAATGATTTGGGATAGGATTTACATATTTATCCCGGGGGAAAGCCGATAGGACGGCTCAGCCATATGGCGAACAGCGGCCTCTCGCTCGCCATGTCGGGTATGGAATTAGGTAGTTGTTTGTTTTCGGAAGCATGGACTTGATGGTGGGGAAAGCCGTAACCGACCAGCGATTACATGAATCACCCTACAGCTAAATCGTATGGCGACACGAGAAGTGCAGCAATCCTGACGGACAAAATTATCTCCCACGCAGGGCAATCAATTTTTTTTTTATTTTTATTTTTATTTTTTTTATTTATTAAACGCAGGGCAATCAAAGGTGCAGCATTGATACCTTAACAATGGATCAAAATGACCATTGTCTTACCATTGTTGTGCTGCAGATAGTAAACGCTTGGCTGATCTTCTGTTCCGACGCATTTCTTGTCGTCGAATGCATGGGAATTTATGGGTGAAGTGACGACCATACACTGTAAAAATTTAATGTTTCGAAGCACGATGCATGGTTTATTTGATATAGTAATGGAAAGTTTGTAACTTCAGCTCAATGATTTAGCTAATGAGGATCTTAACAAAAATCTGTGATCGTAAAAATCGACTGATTTTTAGACGATGGATTTCCCTAAATTTCCGTGTATGAAGGCTTGCGAAATACTTATCTTAAGCATGATTAACCTAAATTTGGCATATTATCCCGGCACAAA